AAATTGAAGTGTATGAACTGAACCTCAGACGTGTCCTCTGCTTTGGCTTCAACAACACTAGAAAGGTGCTGCATCACCAAAATCATCCATCAGAACTTAATAATGATAATAATAATAATAATAATGTTGGTGGTGTTTAGTTTCATATTTGACTACACACAAACTGTGCCAGCCGGTCGAGCAGGTACTTCCCAGGTCAGCATCAAAATCCCTGGTTATCCAAATATGTGGCTGAGCAGCTGCAGGGACGGACACACCTGTGCTAAAGTAAAAGTCACTCACAGAGGGCTAAAGTAAAAGTCACAGATTGCTGAAGTAAAAGTCACTCACAGAGGGCTAAAGTAAAAGTCACAGAGTGCTAAAGTAAAAGTCAGATTCAGATTCAGATTCATTTATTTGCCATTTGCAGTAAAACCACATTGGAAAAACTGTGCAAGACTACCCCGGTGTGCACCAGACAGAGAAGACGACACACACCAGAGCTCTTGCCACGGCGCCATCTTTACGGCGCCATGCGACAAACAGGAGAATGAACAAAGTCACAGAGGGCTAAAGTAAAAGTCACAGAGTGCTAAAGTAAAAGTCACAGAGGGCTAAAGTAAAAGTCACAGAGTGCTAAAGTAAAAGTCATATTCATAGTATGTTTAAAAACCAGAGAGGAAGTAAAGAAAAGGACAAAACTACTTGCTCAGTTCATTTGCGGCGGTCATTGTTCATGCGTCTGGTGTTTTGTGTCCGCAGGTATCCAAGACTACTGCTCCAACAGGGAAACTGCACAGACGGCCACATGACTGCAGTCAACTGTCCAATGTATTTCTGATGCACTTCTTTCACAGACTAAATGTTTTATAAATGTGTTAAAGAGGTTACGTTGTTGTAATTTGAATAAATAATGACAGAAATGTGGAGGCAGACTTACTTTCTTTGAGATAAGAACCTTGTAATATTCCCTTTGTTGGCAGTGACAGAGGTCAAACATTTTCTGTAAGTCTATAAGTTCTCCACACACTTGCTGGTATTTTGGCCCGTTCCTCCTGCAGATCTCTTTTAGAGCAGTGATGTTTTGCCTTACAACCACCTCCAAAGATTCTGGATGAGATCTGGAGACAGTGGTGGTCCCGCTGCCTGTGGACCAATGGCTCCTGTGTGTTTGTTGTTATTACTGTATATCTCCTGAGTTTCAACTGTTTGATTCTCTGATCTGTTGTTGTAAGAGTCCTCCGAGACGACTGCTGTTGTGGGTTTTTTTAGATTTTTTGGCTGAAAGTTTACTTGTCCTCCTTGTCGCCGTCCTGGTCCTGGTCTTTTCCCTAAGACCTGGTCCGGTCCTGGCTCGGTTCCCAATACGGTACTAGGTACTGGTCCGGGGTCGCGGCCTTCGCACCGGTCCTGGAACAGGTTGTGTTCCTGTATTGGATCGGGTTCTGGCTCCGCCCTGGTTTGGGTCGCGGGTTAGAAGGGCATTTATGATGGGGGTCGCGGGCTAAAAACTTTGGGAACCCCTGTGCTAAAGTAAAAGTCACTCACAGAGGGCTAAAGTAAAAGTCATATTCATAGTATGTTTAAAAACCAGAGAGGAAGTAAAGAAAAGGACAAAACTACTTGCTCAGTTCATTTGCGGCGGTCATTGTTCATGCGTCTGGTGTTTTGTGTCCGCAGGTATCCAAGACTACTGCTCCAACAGGGAAACTGCACAGACGGCCACATGACTGCAGTCAACTGTCCAATGTATTTCTGATGCACTTCTTTCACAGACCAAATGTTTTATAAATGTGTTAAAGAGGTTACGTTGTTTTAATTTGAATAAATAATGACAGAAATGTGGAGGCAGACTTACTTTCTTCAAGATAAGAACCTTTTTACTAATCTCAGAGTGGAGAAAAAAACAATAAAGACATGAGTATGGAGTAAAATGTAGATGAAGCAAAAAAGTGTGTTCGTGTGTGTTCTTTGCAATGGCAAGTTTATTAGTAAAGCACAATTCATACACAAGGCAACTCAAAGTGCTGCTCAAGATAGTATTAAAATCATAAATAATCACAATACAATGTAATGGTGTTTATCTTTTCATATTTATTTGTGCGTTGATGCTTCTCACTGCTCTCTCTCATAGTTTAGTTTTTAGTAAATAACAAAAGTACATCTCAATGCTTTGTAATATTCCCTTTGTTGGCAGTGACAGAGGTCAAACATTTTCTGTAAGTCCATAAGTTCTCCACACACTTGCTGGTATTTTGGCCCGTTCCTCCTGCAGATCTCTTTTAGAGCAGTGATGTTTTGCCTTACAACCACCTCCAAAGATTCTGGATGAGATCTGGAGACAGTGGTGGTCCCGCTGCCTGTGGACCAATGGCTCCTGTGTGTTTGTTGTTATTACTGTATATCTCCTGAGTTTCAACTGTTTGATTCTCTGATCTGTTGTTGTAAGAGTCCTCCGAGACGACTGCTGTTGTGGGTTTTTTGGGCGATCCACAAATATACCCACAATGCCTCTCAAAAGTATTAATACACCTTGAACTCGCACATTTTGTCATGTTTACAATTATAAAGATAAAGATCTTATTTAGATTTTTTGGCTGAAAGTTCACAAACAGGAAACACAACTGTGAAAGAAAGAAAAATGATTCATTGTTCTGTTATTTTTCAACAAATAAAAAACCTGCAAAAAAAAAAAAAAAATACTGTCCTCCTTGTCGCCGTCCTGGTCCTGGTCTTTTCCCTAAGACCTGGTCCGGTCCTGGCTCGGTTCCCAATACGGTACTAGGTACTGGTCCGGGGTCGCGGCCTTCGCACCGGTCCTGGAACAGGTTGTGTTCCTGTATTGGATCGGGTTCTGGCTCCGCCCTGGTTCCGACCTGTACTCGGTCTGGGTCCCGGACCTTGTCCCGGTCCTGGTCCTTGGGCAACATGACTCGTACACCTGCGCCGTCCCACCACCCTACCAACCAACCTCAGTGTTGGGCGCAGATCCACAAAGACATATCATTGACTTGTTACCAAGGCAACACAACATACCCATACTTCTGAATGATGTCACGGAGGTGGTTTCGTCAACGTAGTTTGAAAAGCTTTATTTAAACAAAACATAACATTCCAGTCCAGAACCAAGAATGCCATAGATGGCTGGTTGCCAAGCAACCAAAAATACATCAAATGAATGAAGCTCAAGGCAGGACTCCTCACATAAATTGAGTAATTTCATTTTCACGAGTTTGTGATGTGCGAGATATACATTATTTATCTGGTGTAAAGGACAACGCTATAATCAATTATTATCACAGGATCAGCAAACGGCTTTAGTACAAACGCTTTTATAACACTATGAACAAACAGATGGATATAAGAAAACACCTTTTTAAAATAGTTTTAGAAAATATGAACAAGGATGGTCTTTTCTCAATGTTAAAAGGAAACTACAAATTGAAGTGTATGAACTGAACCTCAGACGTGTCCTCTGCTTTGGCTTCAACAACACTAGAAAGGTGCTGCATCACCAAAATCATCCATCAGAACTTAATAATGATAATAATAATAATTAATAATGTTGGTGGTGTTTAGTTTCATATTTGACTACACACAAACTGTGCCAGCCGGTCGAGCAGGTACTTCCCAGGTCAGCATCAAAAACCCTGGTTATCCAAATATGTGGCTGAGCAGCTGCAGGGACGGACACACCTGTGCTAAAGTAAAAGTCACTCACAGAGGGCTAAAGTAAAAGTCACAGAGTGCTAAAGTAAAAGTCACAGAGTGCTAAAGTAAAAGTCATATTCATAGTATGTTTAAAAACCAGAGAGGAAGTAAAGAAAAGGACAAAACTACTTGCTCAGTTCATTTGCGGCGGTCATTGTTCATGCGTCTGGTGTTTTGTGTCCGCAGGTATCCAAGACTACTGCTCCAACAGGGAAACTGCACAGACGGCCACATGACTGCAGTCAACTGTCCAATGTATTTCTGATGCACTTCTTTCACAGACCAAATGTTTTATAAATGTGTTAAAGAGGTTACGTTGTTGTAATTTGAATAAATAATGACAGAAATGTGGAGGCAGACTTACTTTCTTCAAGATAAGAACCTTTTTACTGATCTCAGAGTGGAGAAAAAAAAACAATAAAGACATGAGTATGGAGTAAAATGTAGATGAAGCAAAAAAGTGTGTGTGTGTGTGTGTACACATGTGTCTGTGTGCGTGTATCTGTCTCTATGTCTGTCTAGTGCGTGATGTGCAGCAGTTCTGTACCTAATTATAGCAAATCTTCATATGAAATAGAATTAAAAACGTCTCATTTAATAAATACTATGTTTAATGAAGTCATATCAGTGTCATATCTTATCTGGGGGGAAATCAGACACATTAATAATGCGTGTGACGTGGTACACGTCATTTGCATATTGTCCCCTAGATCCGGGGGTGTCTCAATTCTTAGGGAGAATATCCTGTGAGTCCCCAATGTGAAGGCACTTTTTTGGTGAGGGCACTCAGGGCCCTCAGAATTGGGACGGGGCCTTAATCTTCTTCATGGTTTTTCATGTTTTAAATCATCAGCTGCAGCCTAAGTAAAGTGTTTTTGATGAGTGGCAACAATGTGAACATTATCTAATACTACACACATAACGAAACTGAAAATACGGACAAACTTTGAGAGTGTTTTGGCGAATATCAAACGTTCGGCTAAACTAAACCTTGGTTCAAGGGAAACGCAATTATCATCGAGCCACTTTTCTCACCCAAAACCTAATCTGGATCTAACACTGTAGTGACCAAAAGACAGGAATACGAAATATCCTGGATTAATAAAGGTCAAGAAATAAAATCAATAATTTAATCTGATAACTTTTTCATGAACCAAACTAAAATAAAGAAAAACACAAGTAAAAGATAATGATAATAGGCCTATCATCCTTGCATTCATGTCTTGGTCTCTGAGTCTCGCTGCACTGCTGGAAAGTGAAAGTAACCAGGCAGACGGTTGATACTTTTGTTCTGTCTTAAGCAGCGGCACATGCGGGACGTGGGCCTAAATGTCTCTGCAGAAACACGGTGCAGCGGCAGGACACGCTCCGGGTTTCTACTTTACAGACCACTGACTGAAGGTGCTGCAGACCCGCGTCCAGGTCAGTCCGCGTCCGGGTCCAGGGTCATTCTAGGTCAGTCCGCGTCGAGAGGAAAACAGTGCCATTCTGTCTGGTCAGACTGCTCTGCTGCGAATCAGACTGGTTCAGTATTATTTGTAACTAACTTTTGGCTTAATTACCATGCTATTTGTCCAAACAGAGAGACGGTTATTGTTTCAGTAACATGTTATAAACAACGCAGACCACACATCTTTATGAAAACATCGCGCGTGGACTACTGAGTGCTGACTGGCTGAGTGAGAAAAAGCTCTAGTTTTCACCTAAAAAGTTGATCCAAAGACGTGACCGGGGCTAAAACATCCATGAATGTGAAATATAGTGATGGAACCAAACTGTTATGAGAGTGAGGAACAATGCTGTGAATACATTACCTTAAACTTGAGTCACTTTATTTCCTTTCTCTGCTGTAATGTGCGCAACGATGACACTGAAATTTCTCCACTGTGAGACTAATAAAGGTTTATCTTATCTTATCTTATCTTAATTGCACTGATAAATGCCTATTGTGTGTACTTGCTGCACTTATAGTTGAAACTTTAAGAAACGGTATCTTATTTATGCATATACCATGGGCGGCACGGTGGCTGAGTGGATAGCACTCTCGCCTCTCAGCAAGAATGTTCGAATCCCGGCCGGACCAGGGCCTTTCTGAGTGGAGTTTGCATGTTCTCCCCATGTCTGCGTAGGTTTCCTCCGGGTTCTCCGGTTTCCCCTACCACTAAAAATATGTACAATAGGTCTGGCATGCGCCTCCTGTTCGGCGACCCCGCTCCCATCTCTGTGTGGAGTGAGAGGACAAGTGCCCAAAAAATAACAATTGTAAACCGCTTTGTGACTCTGGTCTGTGAAAGGCGGTATATAAATAAAGCTTACTTACTTACTTCTATTTTTTGCTTGTTTGCACCGAGAGCCAAAGCCATTTCCTTATTTGTGACTTCTTGTTACTCACAATGGCCCCGTATGTTTTAGAGAACGTCTGCCATACATTTGCGTCTATATACTGTCTCTAAATAGCTTTCTTATCAAGAATTATTCTCATTGTGTGTTTGTGTACATGTATCTAGTGGTAGGGGAAACTGGGGCACCTGGAGGAACCCTATCCAGACATGGGGAGAACATGCAATCTCCTCACATGCAATTGTTTGTTATAGTTACTCGTTCGGTTTTCATTTCGGAATCTCAGAAAGTACTTATGTAAAAGTGCCATACATTTCCATCTATCTACTGTCTGTTACTCATTCTTCATTTTATGTTTTTATTCAGGAAAAATGCAAGACGTCAACCAAGGTCTTCCAGGTGAGCTCTCATTCACACTGACAGGAGACTGCATATGTGAAAAAGCTCATTTTCACACCTGATTATAACTTGCAGATGATTTGCTGCAGTACATGGAGGAGGACCATCTGGAACATCTGGACAATATAGCAGGTCAGAGCCAAACACTCTGTTCACAAGCAAATGTACAATCATTCATGCCTTAAATCATTGATTCTGTTTATTTCTTTGCAGATCCAGACGCGCTTTTCGGGTTGCTGGCACACGAGGCTGAAGTTGAGAGCGGTGAGATGATCATTTATTCGTTGGATAATAATCTATTGGTCTCATGGTAATTCCAGTTTTTTTTGGGATTTCTGTACTGCCTTTTTTAAAATGTTATCCATGTTTCAAAAGCAGAGAACCCTCTTAAAGCAGTTTTACTTTTGTCACAATGCTTAAAAACCCATAGCCTACCTAACTCACATCTGCTAAAATCACTGGTTCATGAAAAAATAGTGTTCTATGCAATGATAGTTTTAATCTCCTTCCCCAGATGAAGCTGTTCCACCAGACTGCACAGAGAGTGGATCCCAGGAGAGCACGGCGAGCGCAAAACCGAGTACAACAATTCGACACAGAGGTGAATATCTTACTTTATTATGTATTGAGTAACTTTATTTGGCCTCAGCTGTTGTTCTACAGCCTCAGTCCTGGATCAGTGGTCTGTCTGGGAGAGGATCTTTCTCACAGTGTGGGCCTCCTCGAAGTTTTACAACTAGTAGTAGTAGTTTTATTTGAGCAGTTTTACCTAATTTTTTACAGGTATATATATAATTCAAGAAACAAAGCTCAAAAGGAGAAGGGAGAAGCAAAAATCTTATCAATACTTCATTTAACCAACTGCAAAAATATAAAACATTTCACATGACATTTTTACGAGTTTTTCCTTGCCGATGCAGAAGGGTCAAAGGACAGTGGTGATCCAGACATTCAGTAACATTTATGGACATTTATCAACTGCCCCTTATAAAACAATCGCTCGATGTGTTTTTTTATCACTGCATTTCTTGTATTTGAACTGTTTGATTCGCTGATCTGTGTTGGCAAAGTGTTTTGTAAAGTCCTCCGAGATAACTACTGTTGTGTTCAAGGGCTACACAAGAATACATTGAATTGAATTGAATTTATTAACTGCACTGTAATAATGTAGTTTAGTGACTCGTCAGTGCCGTCAGACCCAGCTCTGAGCCGGCCTCTGACCAGCACATAGACATGGACACGTGGCCTCACATCTGAATCATAGACAGTATTTATCTGGACAATGCTAACCCTCTAGCTCAGGGGTGTCATTCATGCGACCTGTGGGCCGAATCCGGCCGCCAAGAGATATGACACAGCCTGCGGCTCATTTATGTAAAATTATAATAATAAGAATAATAAAAAATAATAAAAAATCTGCGCCGTGCTGCGAGGCTCCACACGCCGCAGCGCCGCGCTCAGCAGCTAGTCGAGTGCGTCTGTAGGGATGGTCTGTTGTGGCTCCACCAGAGCATGTTCTGTGACTGACACCCTCAGCAAAATGTCTTTGTCAAAAAGGCGAAGTGTCATCGAGTGCCAGGTTTTTCTAAAAGAAAGTGGACTAATTCTTATTTGTTCGCGGAGGACAATGAAACCCCGGTAAATGGCAGTGCTGAAGGAATATCATCTTAAACTACGAGACTCGTGTCGTCACCATTTCTCTCAAACTCAACATCTGGGACAAGGCAGAATTGAGGCTTCTCTCCTGGTGTAGCTGGTGTTGTTAGCGTGTTAGCTGATGTTAGCTGATGTCCGTAAATTGTATCCATTTGGTCAAACGACCTCCAGACTTTTTGGTTCTGCCCCACTTTTGCACTCTTTCATTTCACGGTAGTCCCTTTTAAGCTTCTTAACTTTTCTCTGCACTGTGATGTCCATAGGTACAGCGCCTCTGACCAATCAGAATTGACGTTTGCTGAAATCAGATTGTTTTGGTATCTCCTCGGCCCAGCTAGAAACAGAGCCAAGCCATTACTTAAAAAACAAACTGGGTAGAGTGGAGTAGAGTCGGCCTTTACTACTTGGGTCAGCTTGCCACACAGGGAATGAATGGTAGCGCCACCGCCAAGGCGTTTTTGATGCTTGTCATGAGAAAACCCGAGAGCCACATGGAACCAGCCAAAGAGCCGCATGAGGCTCACCCCTGGTCTAGAGTCACAAAAAGCAGAAATAATAGAGTAATATAAACCTCAGATGTAAACAACACAAATAAACTCAGATAAAACTCAAAAGTGAAACAAATCATTATTTAATTAAATATCACAATATTTTGCTCTACGGTATCAATTTTACAATACTGAACACAATCGATTTTCCCCTCACCACTAGTTTATACTTTGATATTGTCTTTGTAAATCCAGATATCCAGACATGAGCCATATAAGGATTGACCAATCAGCTATTGCCGCAAAAGAAAATACCCAAATAAAGAATAAGGAAAATATAAGGAAATTGCCGTCATCTAGCTTATGTTTAAATCAGCGTCCTCCGCATTAAGGCTAACACAATTTGTTTCTTGCCGATGCAGGGGGGTCTGTTGGACCCTTGTCTGGGTCTAACTGAAAGGACAGTGGTGATGATCCCGGAATCTCGACATTCAACAACATTTATGGACATTGGTCATCTGCCCTTTATGGACCAATGACCAATGTCAACCAATTCTACAACATTTATCAACATTTATCAACATTTATCAACATTTATCAACATTCATGGACATTGGTCACACTCCCTGTGGACCAATACAGACCAATACACACCTCTATATTTTTGTGACTGTATTTGTCTGTGCACACTGGTGACTTTTGCTAATGTATTCCTATGTGGTGTTTTCACTGCAAATGGCAGTGAAAACACCGACTTTAACTGACTTTAACTGACTCTCTGATCTGTGTTGGTGATTTCAAAAAGTGTTGCATTACTTAATAAATACTTTCTTCATGTTCCCGTCTGCTCCAGAGAATGGGGACTGCGCCCAGGCAACATCACAGCTCAAAAGACAAAGAACACTCACAGGTAAGTACGTGTGTGTGTGTGTGTGTGTGTGTGTATGCACTTGTTTTCAACTCCTGGTGGGTTCCATAACCTGAGATTCCACTCACGTCATGGGGACTGGTTTTACGTGGTGGGGCCCGAACACCGGACCCCACTGGTCCAAGCTTAATAATCAATGGGTAATGCTTTTCTAACGGTCCTTATGCAGTCTCTGTAAAAATATGGAAAGGACCCCTGGAGGTTTACTTTCCTGAAAAAAGTGTGTTATGTGTCGGAACCCTGGTGGTGGGTTGCGGGATATCAAGGAGGGGCACACTGGGGCAATTTCAGTCCAGCAGGCTGGAGCCAATCATGGAGCAGCACAACAGAGGAAATCAGGTGTCAGGCTAGAAAAAGGTGCAAGTGTGTGGTTCATTAGGCTGCAAGAAATCATGGAGGAGCACACTGAAGCGCACGCTTACAAACCACTGGTAAGTGCTGACTACAAGTCATGACTTCAAATTGTTATATAGAATGATTACAAATTATTTGTTGTTTGTGCAGCTTAGTCAAGAGTCCCTAATTGATGAAGTCGACTCAGATTCTGACGATTTAACTGTCAAGAAGAAACCTGTAAAAAAGTATGGAAAAAGAAAAATCAAAAACACTTTTCTTCAAGACTCGGAAAGTGACGAACCAAAGGCAAATAAGATTGTTATCATGCAGCTGCAAAAGAAGAAAAATGGGGGGCGAGTATACAGCAAGAGACACTTCTGCCTCTACTGTTCAATGTCCTGCCACAAAATGTCCCGTCATTTGACTAGAAAACATGGAAATGAAAGTGACGTAGCCAGAGCATTGGCTCTACCTGTGAAATCTAAAGCACGTAAACTTCAGTTTGATTTGATCAGGAATAGTGGAAACCGTGAGCACAATTTTGAGGTTTTAAAGGCCGGCATTGGAACTTTAGTCCCAGCTAAACAGCCAAATTCCCCAGTTAAATCCAGTGAGTTTTTGCACTGTATAGACTGTGGGGCATTGCTTAAAGGCGCTATACCCGTTTCTGCAATGTTTGAATGTTTAGCACCGCCCCCCAACTCGCTCAATGGCTTCTCATTTCCCCTACGCTCTCATAACACAGAGCCACCTAGTTTTATTTGTCTAACATTAGCATTAGCGCAACTTCTTGTAAGCTGTGCAACAATCACCGATGAAATGGCACTAAAGCAACGCACTGCTAACACAATATATAAGTAAAAGAATACCGCTAGTTTCGCGTCCGAATGTATTCATTTAAAACCTTAGAATATATTCTAATATTGAATTATAATTTGTTATAGAGCTCCTCAAAGCAGCACCAGCAATTCTTCCGATAATTTTTCTTGATAACAGAACTCTCAAACCAATAATGACCGAAGCCCCAATGCAACCTCTGTTTGTAATTCAGGTGTGTAAAATATCACTCGTCTGTGTAGAGAAGCCAACGGAGCTAGCCACGCTCAATAAACAACTACATATCTATCAATCAACACCATTAAACGTCAATCGGACAATACAGTACACATATAAATCCTTAACACACATGTACGGATGATTTCACAATTTGCTCTTAACGTTTTCATGACAAAAATACTGTTTCAATGTGACAAAAAGCGATTGCGAAAAACCCGGAAGTTACCATGAAACAACTAGCTAGCTTAGCTGTTACCTGCCTAGCACGTCCTGGTGAAACCTTTGGGAGCTAACTATTTTATTTGCAGTCATTAAATACATTTCGAATTACAAGGGTTGTCTAATATTTGTTCACATTTTTTTATTCAATTATTTTGTTCATCATTTTTTATTTTAGAATTATATTCGAATTTTGAAGTCGAAGCCCTGGTGTTAAGCAGCGCTGTAGAGGCTAGAGGACGCAGGCTGGTCGCTGCTCGTTCTGTGAGCGGAGGAGAAAGAGCGGCCCGCTCAGACTCTACTCAGCACATTTCACTGCTTGTAATTCTTACACAGCTGAATCAATTACCTCAAGTTTTCAATTAAATGATGTATTATGATACAACTTGTATGTAGTAAAAAGCATTTTTATGAACTACTTAGAAAAAAAATCGGGTATAGCTTCTTTAAGCGAAAGTCGCTGTGGAGGCATGTGGCCAGGTGCCGGCTTTCACAGAAAGATGCCCAGGCTAAACCAGGTAGAAGTAGGGTCCAGTCCCTCTGCTCCCTAGCCCAGCCTGTACCGGAGGGCATCAGCAAAAAGCTGTGGTCTTTAATTTCGGCAATGCATCAGGATGAGGTCACGGGTGTTGTCAAAGCAGAAAAGGGGATTCTGAGACTCGGAGAGCACCTGTACTTAAAACACGGGCATGATAAGACAAAGCATGATTACATTAGGCAGAAAATGAGAGAAGTCGGTAGGTTAATTAACGAAGCAAAAACCGCAGGGAAACTGAAAACAATTAAGGATTTCTTTATTCCTTCCAACTTTAACCATGTGATTGATGCAGTCAGGTCTGTGGCTGGATATGATGAGGAAACAAATCAATACAAGACTCCATCCTTGGCCCTCAAACTCGGCCATAGCCTCAGAAAGCTAGCAGATATTCTTGAATGTGACTCAAAAATGGAGCATTGTGTTGATGAACTATTTATTAAAAACCTCCAACGAAGCCGGCTGCTTTTTGAGAAGAGGTGGGACGTCTGTGTTTCTTCTGCTGCCCTACAGACCCTCCGGCAAGCCAAGTGGAACACTCCGGACCTGCTCCCTCTGACTGAGGACGTTAGAGCCATGCATGCACATATTGAGGTATGTCGACCTGAATATGTGCAAACCCTAATAAGTGAGCCAACGTCTAAGCATTGGTCTAAACTGGCAGTTTTGACTCTTTGTGAGGTCATCATTTTCAATCGAAGAAGGGAAGGTGAGGTTTCAAAGATGCCACTGACAGCCTTTACCTTAAGAAGTAAGACTGGGATCCATTCTGACATTGCTCTGGGACTGTCCCAACTTGAGAAAAAGCTGTGTCAGCATTTTCAACGCATTGAAATTAAAGGGAAAAGAAGTCGGAAAGTGCCGGTTCTTTTGACTCCTGAAATGATTGCTTCGATGGAGGTGCTGGTGGAGAACAGAAGGGCCTGTTCCATCTCTGACCATAACCCATACTTCTTTTCCCGCCCGGGCGCAGACACCCACATCAGGGGATCAGACTCCCTACGCCAGGTAGCCAAAGAATGTGGTGCGGTGCATCCAGAGATGCTATCCTCAACCAAACTTAGAAAGCACATAGCTACTATGTCTACAGTTCTCAATATGAAAGAGAATGAGATGGACATACTTGCCAACTTCCTCGGCCATGACATTCGCATCCACAGGCAATATTACAGACTACCAGAGGGGACACTGGAGCTGGCCAAAATCAGCAAAGTGTTGATGGCCATGGAGCAGGGAAGAGTGACGGAATTCGAAGGAAAGAGCCTCGACCAGATACAAATTGAGCCTGAAGGTAATTCTTGATATTATTAAAATATGTATGATTTTTTTCCCCTAAAGGCCACTTGTATTTTTATTTTCTGTGCGACAGGGAGAGCAGTAGAGATCCTCTCACAAACGGACGGGCTAAAAGAAACTTCAAGCGGAGAACCTTCAACCATTCATCCAGATGCACCCCATGGTAGTGGCAGTGCCCCTTCTGGTAAGTGTACCAGGTGGGGGATTACAGCCAGGCTGCTTGGTCCTCACCCTGGGAGTGTATATTGCTAATATATTTTTATTTCTCTCCCTAGAACGTGTAAGAAAAGCCATGGTCTGCATCTGAGGTGAAGGCTGTGGAGAAGACCATGACACCTTTCATACAGACTGGAAAGGTCCCTGGGAAGTCTCACTGCCTGGCCTGCATTAATGCCTCACCAGATGACCTTAGACATCGGACATGGAGTGGCATTAAATTCTATGTCAAAAATAGAATCACTGCAATTCGAAAACAAAATCTAAAATAAAATTCCTTTAAAATAGTTGTTTGGTTTCTATTGACTGTTTTGTATTACTTAAAGTCTTGGTAAAAAAAGATTATGTCTATGGGTCCCATTCTGAACGGCCCTGTCAAAGGGACCCACCAGGTAACAAAAACGTGTATGTGTGTGTGTGTATGTGTGTGTGTGTGTGTGTGTGTGTGTGTTTGTCCACACATTTGTTGCCTCATTAACTCACGAGAGCTAATAATATGATTGTATATTTATTGTTTTCTTTTGATATTGTATTGCACAACTAAAGCCCTGTTTCCACCAGCCCTACTTGGCCCTACTCAACCCCGCTCTACTCTACCTGGTTCCGTTTACAATACGCTTTAGTATCTGGTGCCATATCCTAACAACCTATCCACCACAAACCAGTATCCGGGGAAATGTCTTGTTAACCATGGCTTCCAGTAGTTTAAACACGTTAGCACCAGCTTGGCCTGGTTCAAATAGTAAAGTAGAGTAGGGCTGGTGGAAATGGGGCTTTATGTGAATTTGATGGAAATAATCTTGTTCATTTGCATCAGGTCTTCTAGGGTTAAGTCCAGCCGCCGCTCCTCCTCCTCAGCTGGCTTCTCCCTCTGCCCCTCCTCATCAGCTGGGTTCTCCGTCTGCTCCTCCTCATCAGCTGGCTTCTCCCTCTGCTCCTCCTCATCAGCTGGCTTCTCCCTCTGCTCCTCCTCATCAGCTGGGTTCTCCCTCTGCTCCTCCTCATCAGCTGGCTTCTCCCTCTGCCCCTCCTCATCAGCTGGGTTCTCCCTCTGCTCCTCCTCATCAGCTGGCTTCTCCCTCTGCTCCTCCTCATCAGCTGGCTTCTCCCTCTGCTCCTCCTCATCAGCTGGCTTCTCCCTCTGCTCCTCCTCATCAGCTGGCTTCTCCCTCTGCTCCTCCTCATCAGCTGGCTTCTCCCTCTGCTCCTCCTCATCAGCTGGGTTCTCCCTCTGCTCCTCCTCATCAGCTGGCTTCTCCCTCTGCTCCTCCTCATCGGCTGGCTTCTCCCTCTGCTCCTTCTCATCAGCTGGGTTCTCCCTCTGCTCCTCCTCATCAGCTGGGTTCTCCCTCTGCTCCTCCTCATCAGCTGCCTTCTCTCTCTGCTTCTTCTCATCAGTTGGTTTCTCCCTCTCCAACTCTTCCTCCTCAGATGTCTTCTCCCTCTTCTCCTCCTCAGCTGTCTTCTCCCTCTCCTCCTCCTCAGCTGGCCTCTTCCTCTGCTCCTCCTCCTCCTCAGCTGGCCTCTTCCTCTGCTCCTCCTCCTCCTCAGCTGGCCTCTCCCTCTGCTCCTCCTCCTCAGCTGGCTTCTACCTCTGTTCCTCCTCCTCCTCAGCTGGCCTCTTCCTCTGCTCCACCTCCTCCTCAACTGGTTTCTTCCTCTTCTCCTCCTCCACCTCAGCTGCCTTCTCCCTTTGCTCCTCCTCCTCAGCTGGCCTCTCCCTCTGCTCCTCCTCCTCCTCAGCTGGCCTTTTCCTCTGTTCCTCCTCCTCCTCAGCTGGCCTCTTCCTCTGCTCCTCCTCCTCCTCATCTGGCTTCTCCCTCTGCTCCTCCTCCTCCTCATCTGGCTTCTCCCTCTGCTCCTCCTCCTCCTCATCTGGCTTCTCCCTCTGCTCCTCCTCCTCCTCAGCTGGCTTCTCCCTCTGCTCCTCCTCCTGAGGTGGAGTGTCGAGAGGCGACGATTCCGATCCCTCCGTATGTCCGACTGTCACACACGACCACGGCCCCAACTTTTCTACTGGGTAAGACAGATTTTAACTTTCACCATCAACATCCCATCTCCACACAAAATACATGAAGTGAAGCATTCTAGTATCGTGATTGAACTCATCGCGTCGAGCTAATCTCACTGGTTAAGTAACATGTGGCCGCAAAAAGGTCTCGTTATGATTCTCAAATCATTAATGACAAAAGAAGGAATAAAACTGCCTTTGTGAAATGGTGCTGGTTAAAGATTTGAAGTTGACAAAACTCTTATTCAGATATTATGGTCCCAGCTGGATTCGTCTGCATATCTGGCAACCTCTTTTGGACAGATTTTTTCATACTGCTCCTTTAAATATGAGGACACTTTTACTGCAAATCACTCTATTTATCATCTTCCTCCTTGTGAACTGGTCTCCCCCGGCCTGGATTAATCTCCAGCCTGTACAGTCTGGAGATCCTTCTCTCAATATGGGCCTGCCTGAGGTTTCTCAAATGTTTTGTCCTCTGTATTTTTTGCAGGTCTAAGAACAGTGATAATCAGGGAAAATTAGGAGATGTTTTAACATTTATGGACACTGGTGGGGGTGTCGGGCGACAGTGGCTCAGATGTTAGAGCATTGGCCGTTGGGCTCGAGCCCACTAAAATACCTACTTCACGATTCCCATTGATGACTGCTGTTGTTGTGGCCTTGGGCAAGACACTTGACCCCACTTTGCCTGAAGCCCCCGCTGAAAGATCAAGGCTCCTGTGGACTCACCACCTGCAGGAGGATCTGTTGTTTGAGAATTAACAAATTTGTAAAGTCCTCTGAGGCAACTGCTGTTGTGATTCCGGACTATAGTTATTTTGTAGGGCTGTTTGAATCAGAGAATCAAAAAGTGCAAACACAGGACAGACAATACAAGGGGCGGATGACCAATGTCCTTAAATGTCCTTAAATGTCCTTAAATATCCTGGATCATCACCAATGTCCTTAAATGTCCTTAAATGTCCTTAAATGTCCTTAAATGTCCCGGATCATCACCACTGTCCTTAGACCCACCTGCTTCAACAAGTAACAACTCAAAAAAAACCAGTGGGGAAAAGTGAGAAACCCCGGAGAACCTTGGATGGACGGGCTATAGATCCAGGACTCCGGCTATACCACACACATTACAACATAAGTGAAGACCCTTCTATAAGGGCCACATTTTGAGATAAACCAATATATCCTTAAATGTATCAAACCTCTGAAAGCTCCACATGGATTTTTTGCTGCTTGTTTTTTTAATGAATAATATGCTGTATTTTGTATCATTCACACCAAGGGTTGGGTATCTTTCTGTGCCTGCTCATAGATATTATATAACATCACTTTTTAATATGTATATCTCCATAGTCACACCCACAGTGTAAACGGACATGTTCTCTCTTTGAAACAGTACCTGTGTCTCTTGGCCTTGGATACAACATCCCCACACTGCCACCAGGTCAGTGCCACGTCATAATCACTTGACATACGACTGTTATTTTGATTGTTTTTAACTTTATGGAGTGAATGTGGCAGCTGCACAGGTCCAGACGAGCCCTGCACCATCAGAACCAGCCTCTCCTCCTGTCACGTCCCTACAGGCCTATGGTATTTAATGTAATGCATTTGGTTTTATTTTAGTACATTTTAAAAAATATGTTTTTGGCCCATTTGTCTTATTTAAGCAACAGTTTGTGAACAAATCAGACCACAGCATGCTATCTTCATTTCAAGAAAAACATTTTATCTTTATCAAACTGAGAGATGATTGGCGATGGCTGTTTTACGAGAAAAATATGTAGCACAATAGTGATGAAAACCAAACTGTTTTGAGAACCAGAAACTAGTTACTAGTGTCATGGAATTAATTTTTTAACTCGTGATTGAAATAGGATTTTGTTTAATACTTATTTTGTTTCTACCAAGAAAACACATGGATTGATTGGATTTTGATGTTTACCATAGCATAATAGATGATCAAGCTTTACTTTTGAACATTTAAGCAGCAGAATCCTAACCTTGCCTGCTGTATTTGTGAGTTCACAAACACGTCAACTCATTTGAGTCCTACACAATCATCAATCTGGCTTTTGCCATGTTAACAGAATCCACCACAACAAGAAAAACACACCACATATTATTCAGGATAAGTTAGATTTTGACTTAACATTCAAATTGCATTGAATTGAATTATTTGTGGAAACAGTGTAATTAAAAGCACACCATAGCCCCATACATGACCAGGCCAGCCATTCTCATGATATTTATGAGTTTACAATTATTGTTTTGTTTCTCAGAGTCTGTAAAGGACTACATTCTGGAAACCAAAGCCTACATGAGCAGAGCCAGTGATGACTTAGGAGATGGTCTGACTCTCAGCTCCAACTACGTGGACTCCAGAGTGATCCAGCGCCACACCATCCAGTCCAGAGATAACGTAAACAAAAGCCTGGACAAGGAGCTCAGTGTGATGGGCCACATGGACAGGGAGGAGCGCACGGTCTCACTTAACCAGGTACTGGCTTTGTATCCACCGGTGCTATCTGAACTCCAGTTACAGAACAGTACCGTTGTATACGTCTGTACATGTTAGCAGCGTGCGGGTATGAGACAAAGTGAAAGTTATCAGGATAAGATAAAATAAGCTTTATTGATCTCACAAAACAAACCTGCACAATAGGTCTGAATGTAATGAGTGAATGAATGGATGGTGTTGGTTGAAGGCTTTGAGGCCAGTGGGTTCGGGGTGTGGAGAGAATGAAACAATATCTAGACCCTCAACAATTCTTGGGATATGACATCGAGGCAGTGGCGCGAATGACATATGTGCAAGCCCCGCCAATCCAAGATGGCGCCGTATTCAAATGAATGGTTTGTGCTCAGTGGCGCATTGTGCCTAGCATGACTCTCGCCAGACCCTCGTAGTTCCGCCATCCTCCACCAGAGGCATTTGTGCAGCGAACTACATGGGTCTGGCGAGAGTCAGGCTACATTGTGCCGGCATGGACGGAACTCACCTGGAACTCGCAAAGATCCATGGGAACTCACCTATATTTGGGCGTCGTCTGGTCCTCCCTGTTTTGCGCAGTGGATGAACTCCCATGATGCGTTGCGCCAAATACGCGTGTGTGATTCTCATGCACGTGCACAGAGGGGCTCGGCCGCACTCTGACCAATCAGAACTCATCAGAGCGGGAGTTAGAGCGGGAGCCAGACGAGCAAAGTTTGTGGCACTAAAGAGTAGATTTAAAGTAAACCGAATGATTAATTAAGAAAAAAAGTTCCGGATCACAAGGGACACGAAAATCCCCACAAAATCCAACCTTTATGAAAGCTGTAGGTTCTCTGTCAGCTGAGGTTGATCTGTTTTAGTTTACATTGAGTTCTGAGGGGAAAATTTCTGGGTAGCCCTCGTGAATTTAGTCTGGTTTAGTCTGCAGCACCGCGAGAATCCCCCGGGTCCTTCATTTCCAAGCTAGTAATACCCTATCCAGTTAGATCCATGCATACGTGGGACAGGACCGGACCAGACGTGACGTACCCGGCGGTGCAGTCTGCCGGGTGTATACCATAGACTGTAAATATTAATACACGGCATATAAAGGAGTACATTTTGAAAAAATCACTCGAATGAGGCGGGCGGGGTGGATCAAGGCTTTCCCAGATAAGCGCCCCCTGCAGGCCACCTGAATGAAACGCAGCAATTTCTTCTGTTATTTTTTTGTTAAAAAATGCCCAAAATCAAGACTATTTTGAGAAATATTTTAAGTACTCCCATAGAATTGAGTTTCCCCGATTAAGACTGTTACAACAACCGTACACCGCACAGGAGGAGAGCCTTTGACTCCAAAATAGACACGATTTACATGGTTTTCAATGGGAGCAAAACTGAGTTGTCCCACCTCTGCTCATTCGCCCCTACAGGCCAGTTTAATGAAACCCAAGAAAAGTAAAGCGCTTTGGGTGACCTTGGTCAGAAAAATGCGCTTAAAAAAAAATACTACTTACTTACTTACTGCTCCAAAAGTGTTGTATCACTTCCTGTGTTACATCTGTGACAGGCAAAGACTTTTTCACAAACAAATCAAAACTATCCAAATCAGTGTGTGAGCAAGAGCTGACACATATTTACTCAGTACCCTCTTTCACTTTTGATAGGTTATAATGTGTTTAGAAGGCCGGCAGGTTTGTAAGGAGGATTTATCACCAAAACCAAAATGAATGCACAGAATTGTCCCATAATGCACCAGAGGGCGCTAGAGTCATCGTTATGTACAAATATTATTCAATGCAGATCAGATTCAGATTCATTTTATTAGCCATGTGCAGTATAAAAACTACATTGGAATACATTTGCAAAAAAAGGTACTCTGTGTGCACCAACAGAATAAAAAGCATGATACAATGTAATATAAAATACACATACACTGAATATAAAAGAATAAAAAAACAGCTGACACTGTGGCACCGATCAACAAAGAGTAGGTGCAGAGTTGGTGTTATGGTGCAGCCACATTTTTTTTTAACTAAATGACACTTCCGTTAGCTTATATACTTCCTACAGGCACTACTTTAAATAGTATATAAGAGTATGTACAAATAATACATGAAGAAGAGTTAGACCACATGTGTCAAAGTCAAGGCCCGTGGGCCAAATCCGGCCCGCGAATGAATTTTACATGGCCCGTTGCCTGCCATTGACGCACTAGTACGTCAATTGCGTTTTCCGCTATTTTCATGTTCCCAGATGTCTATTATATCTATCATGTTTGGGGATAAGCTTGAGAGCATATTGAATCGAGCCAGCAGGTGGCAGCAGCGCTCTCTGAATGGTTTGAAAACAGCCAGATGCACTTGTTGTGCCTCTTTTTTCTCAGCTTTTTGGTGATTTCAGTAAAACTTCCCTCTACTCAACTGGGGATTACAAGCTAGAAACAAAATTATTTTTGCTGATGAAAGTAGACAGTCTATAAGTAGACAGTAGGGCTGGGATAAACGATTATTTTTTAAACGATTAATCTAGCGATTATTTTTTCGATGCATCGATTAATCTAACGATTATTTTTTTCGCTTCGATTCGATTTCGCTTCGATTCGATTTCGATTCGATTATCTCCCCATTAATTGACTAATATTGATGTATACATGTTGATTTAAATATTTTAATGAAAAAAACATGAATTCCTTCACAAAAAATATTTATTGCTTGCTCTTAAAATTAAAAAATAAGACATTCTTAGAGGTAGCATAAAACCTTAAAGCCTTGAAAACACAGCTTACTGAAAAAAGTGCATCTTATCATTCTTGAAACAAACATTTGATGCTTAGCATTCAATAAAAATATGAAAAAGTTCAGCCAAATACTTGTGTAGAGCAACTAAAAGAAAACAGTAACCAATGTAAACTTGAAGGCTTTAAGCTAAACAAAGAGTGCTTTTCCAGCAAAAACTGTGGGAGCCATCAGCCTGTCATGGCGTCCTTCCTGAACCAACAGAGTTTAACATTTAAGTTGAAGACACATAGGCCTATATTACTGAAGTCCATTAATTAAAGTGCATCTCTTAAATTCTTCATTCATATAAAAATAACAGTCAAAACTCTGCCACTCACCTTTTTCTTAAACTCAAAATTCAAAAATAAAATTCAAGTAAGAGTGTACAAGAGAAAAACAATGCATTGTGTAGCAAATAAAAAGGTCAACCAGTCATCCTTTCTTTTAGAGTTACTGAAAGAATACAGTAAAAGTCATCTCAGAGGACTTAAAACAACATTGAAGTCACCAACACAGATCAGAGAATCAATCAACAGTTAAACGCATTAAGGATGTTGAAAAATGTCCATATACGGCGGGCATGACAGTGAATAATACATGTAGGGGCTATTACGGGCGCCAATATTCCGTTTGATACAAAGAAAGACAGACCAGTTGTAAGCTGTAGAGTTGCCACAGGACGCGTCATCAGCCTACGTCAGCAGTCGCGGACTGCTATGAAAACATTAGCTTTGTGGTTTCACAGGCGCAGTTGACTGCTTAAACTAAACTTTGCACGAAACTTTGACTCTTAAAACCCACATGTGACAAAACGGAACCATCAACCTCTCGCCTCAAATTGCATTAAAAGTGACATTCGTGTCTGAATTCGTTCGTATTTTAACTTTTAAAGAAATTCACAGTCCGCCATCTTGGTTTGCTTCGGCTGCCGTGAGACGCGCATGCGCAGGTTTGCATTACATGATAAACAGCTGAGGCAGTGCATCTCTTCAAGGCAGTGTATCTCAGCGTTACACCGGCTTGCACTTCTCTAACACGGCACTCGCATTGCTACCGCTTGCCGCCATCTTTGTTTTGTGTGTGACGCACCGACGCGCATATTATACGTCGGTGTATTTTTTGCGTCGACGTCACCGATTACGTCGACGCGTTGTCCCAGCCCTAGTAGACAGTCTAATCCGAAACCAGATTGTCTGGTTTTGGATTTCAGATAGTCATAGTACACAAAATTCTGTGGGTCTTGAAAAATCTATAAAAATCATCAGAAACTGCTGGCAATATGGGAGTATCTGTTCTGAAATAGGCTGGCAGGCAATGAGTTAATAAACATTGAACCAGTCCGGCCCTCGGCTCGCAGCAAATTTGTTTTTTTGGCCCTCTGATGTATTTGACTTTGACATGCCTGAGTTAGACCATCGAAAACAGGGGTCTCAAACTGAATTAACCTGGAGGTCCCATGAGGAAGAGTCTGGGTGAACCTAGTGTTATTTTTATCAGGTGTTTGTGTGTGTGCAAAATATATAAACATTGGAGCAAACAGATCTATGCACACAAGGGACCAAGTTAAACAGAGACAAAAACAGGAAAACCAAGAATAAAGCGTTTGTGGAAAGTTCATTGTTTGTATCTATGACATTTTATTATGATGAAGGTATTTTGACCCATTAATTACTTTTATTGAACATGAGTTTGATATTATTTCATATATTTCTGATGAAACAATATGAGTCCAGAGGCTGTGATTGAAACAAAACTGGATGAAAAGTAATCAGGCTTTCTATTCTAGACTGGGTTTATTAATGTTTACTTTGAATTATAACTTAATGCATTCAGGGTTCAATGTTTATGGTAAAATAAATGATGTGGTTTTGTTTCTTGATGAAATTAGCTTTTAAACAATGTATAAAATGTCATATCAGCCCAGACTCTCTGTACTTTACAAAGCACTGACATTAAAGTTTGATGTCCACCTTTTCGTGGGACATTTGGGCCAAATGATCTAAAACATGGGTGTCAAGGTCAAGGCCCGGGGCCCAGATCCGGCCCTCAAATGAATTATCTCGGCCCCCTGGATGATATTTCATTAGTATTAGAACTGGCCTGCACAGAGCCATAAGAAACATTGGATTATTAATTTAATCATGAAATAAAATATGGTACACTGTGTTAGGTCTTGGTTCAATTGGTTATGTGCATCATGTTTTAATAAACATTGATCCAGTCCGGTCTTTGTAGCAAATTTGTTTTTTATGCCCCTCTGATGTATTTGCATTTGACATCCCTGATCTAAAAGATACATATACAGACTCAAACAACACTGGGAGAAAATTGAATTAAAGAAGCTATACCCGATTTTGTTTCTAAGTAGTTCATAAAAATGCTTTTTACTACATACAAGTTGTATCATAATACATAATTGAATTGAAAACTTGAGGTCATTGATTCCACTATGTATGAAATTCAGGCAGTGAAAAGTGCTGAGTAGAGTCTGAGCGGGACGCTCTTTCTCCTCCGCTCACAGAACGAGCAGCGACCAGCCTGCGTCCTCTAGCCTCTACAGCGCTGCTTAATGTCACCAGGGGGCGCAATGCCCCAACTAGATCTTTAAAACCAATGGTCCAAGGGGAGTGGCTCTATCAAAACAATACACCGGGGTTGAAAAATTAACAATTTATTACAATATATAATGTTTAAAATGTCACTAAAAGGCTACACTAAAAATCCAAAGATGAATCCCTCTAAAAACTGAATAGTCCAATATAGATCCAAGTGGGCGCTTGGGGTGGTGGTCCGGTCCCAGGGCACGTCCCGGAGGCCTATGGAGGGTCAAACAGGGCGGCAGTCAATACACCGGGTTACAGGAGCCTGAGCGTTGCTTGGCTCTCCACAAGACGCTCTCAGTGAAAATGTGCAACACTTAGCTGAGAGGAGGGGGATGGCGAACTCTCCCCCTCCGCTTCTCCACAGCGCGTCCTCTCAGCTTCTCCCACGCTGGTCGCAGTGCCTGGGACAGAGGGCAGACCGGCCGTCAATCTCCCAGGTCAGTGACAGGAATAATATACCCCAGTACTGCGCAGTCAGGCTTTGGCATACAGACACACACAGCACAAAAAAAACCACACGTAGCCCTGCCTGCACAGCGGAACAAAACGGGTACTTAGCTGGGAGGAGGGGGTTCGTTACACTCTCCCCCTCCGCGATTCCCACGGTGCGTCCTGCCACTGGCCACTCGATGTCCGTCTCACAGCGCTGCTCCGTCGTGCCCAAGTGCTGCCTCCCGCTTGTCCAGTTCTCCGCACCCTGCTCTGCTGCTCCGCTCTCCACACCTGCTTGCCTCTCAATCACGCACACCTGTCCCTGATATCCCAACTCCAGTGGGCCGGGTCACAGTCATTCACAAACACGCAACCACTCACACACACTCACGCACGCTCACGCACGCTGTCAAGTTGCCCCGTGACACCCTCCCCCTCCAAACTGTTCTAGTCCCTAGAACACACATACAAGGGTCAGTTCAGGTATCTTTGGGGCCGAGCCCCCAAATTGGCTCTCTGGGACCTCCTCGGCTCTGGCGGTGGTACAGGTCCCTCCTCGACGACTTCCCCCACAGGTAGCAAAAGCCCCCACATTGATGCCGGAGGCTCACTTGAGGGCGCTGTTGTAGCCTCCGGGGCGGTGTAGTAGAGGCATGGCCGGAGATTGTTGCGATGAATCACCCGTTCAGGGCCATCCTTACCCTCCGGGCGAATTTTGTAGACTGGGCGCTCTGGGTGGAGCCTACAAACTATAACAAAGGGTCTTTTCTCCCAGCGATCACTTAGTTTCCCTGCCTGGCGCCTGCGGTGGTCACGCACCAGAACTCGCTCTCCAGGCAAGAGCGGGACTTCTTTGGCAGAACGATCATAAAGCCTCTTACTTTTCTGTCCAGCCTGTTTGAGGCAATCAAATGTTCTCTTATAGGCATAAGCCAGCTGCTCCTGATGCTTTGCTACCCAGTCTGTAGTGTCCATGGGAACCTGTACTCTCATACCTCCAGACAACAAATCTACTGGAGTCCTCATATGCCGACCGAACATCAAAAAGGCGGGTGCATAGCCTGTCGATGCATGGACAGTGTTATTATAGGCCTGGATTAATCCAGGCAGATACTCTGCCCACCTTTGATGTTTTTCTACCTCTAGGGTACCCAGGAGATTTAGCACTGTCTGGTTGAGCCGTTCGCAGGCCCCGTTCCCCATTGGGTGATATGGAGTGGTTCGACTCTTGCGGCACCCATACACCTGACAGAGTTCATGTACCAGCCTAGACTCAAAGTTGGCCCCTTGGTCGGAGTGCAGTACTTCTGGGCAACCGAACGGCTGGATTACATACTTCCAGAGGACACGTGCGGTCGTGAGGGCCGTTTGATCCAGTGTGGGTACTGCCCATGCAAACTTGGTGAACAAATCGGTCATAACAAGAATGTTTTGATACCTATCAACTGGACGGCTCAATGTGAGAAAATCTAAGGCCACAATCTGCATCGGGGCCCCTGCAACAAGATTCACTAAAGGCGCTCTACCTGGGGGTCCGGGCTTGTGTAATACACAACGCGGGCAAGCTTGTAGCCAGGTGTCGATTGTGTCCTCCATTCGGGGCCAGTAAAAACTCCTTCGCAGCAGACTCAGGGATCTCTCTAGCCCTGGGTGTCCCATCTGCTCATGATACAAGGCCCACAAGGTCTGTGCTTGCGATGCTGGAACAACAATCTGGTGAAGAGTCTCTAAAGTTTTTGAGTCTTGGACAATCCTACATATGACCCCATCTTTCAGTCTTAGTTTTTCCCAGTGTCTTAGCAGGGTCTTGGCTGGTTGCCCTAAGGCTCGTCTTTCTAAGGCACTTGGAAGCATACCTCTCTCGATGTGAAGCTTGATTTTACGCAGATCCGGATCTTCAGCTTGAAGGCTTCTCCATCGCGCCACGTCCCATCCCAAACTGCCACCTATGGTTGGGGTAATGGCGGTCTCTACCACTCCCACAAGCTGGTCTGGGTCACCTAGGGCCTGGTTTGGAGTGTCAGTGGGGAATCTAGATAGAACGTCAGCATTAGTATTTTCTTTTCCTGGGCGGTATCTAATAGAATAGTCAAAGTTAGCCAACTGGGCAACCCACCTCTGCTCTACAGCCCCCAGCTTTGCAGTTTGTAGGTGTACCAGTGGGTTGTTATCAGTTACTACGGAAAACTTTGCACCCCAAAGGTAGTCCTTGAACTTTTCTACCACTGCCCATTTCATAGCGAGGAGCTCCAGTTTGAACGAACTATAATTGGAGTCATTTCGTTCTGCTGGATGTAGGCTTCTACTAGCATATGCAATTACACGTTCAACCCCACCCTGTTCTTGAGCCAGTACAGCCCCAAGCCCTGTGTTGCTCGCGTCGGTATATAGAGTGAATGGCAGTGTATAATCAGCATAAGCCAGAATAGGGGCCTGCACCAGTTCCCTCTTTAGCTGTTGAAAGGCCACCTCGCATTGTTCATTCCACTCAATAGGAGGGGAATGCCGCCCTCTGGGGCGACTGGTGCCAATCAAAAGTCCGTTAAGGGGCTTAGCAATCTTTGAAAAGTCTTTTATAAAGCGCCTATAATAACCCAAGAAACCAAGAAATGAACGGACCTGCCTAACAGTAGCAGGCGGCTGCCAATCTGCTACGGCTGCGACTTTCTCTGGGTCAGGTGAAACCCCTTGGCCACTGACTACATGTCCCAGAAACTTTACCTGTTTCTGGAACAGCTGGCACTTCTCGGGACGGAGTTTAAGGCCATAATAGCCCAGAGACCGAAACACTGACTCCAAATGCTGAAGGTGTTCTGTGAAGCTTCTAGAATAGACAATCACATCATCAAGGTATACCATTGCCGACTCTGCTAACTGCTCACCCAAGCACCGCTGCATCAGTCTTTGAAAGGTTGCAGGTGCATTACATAGCCCAAAGGGCATCCTTTCAAATTCAAATAAGCCAAACGGGGTAGTGAAGGCAGTTTTCTCTCTGTCTCCCTCTGCTACCTCCACTTGCCAATAACCACTGGCTAGATCTAGTGTGGAATACCACTCTGCTCTAGTCAGGCTGGTTAAAGAGTCCTCAATCCTAGGGAGTGGGTGTGCATCTTTGTGTGTTACACTATTCAGCCTACGATAATCTACACAAAACCGCCACGCTCCATTCTTCTTTTGAACTAGGACAATGGGGGCGGCCCAGGGGCTGCAGCTTTCCCGAATTACCCCCCCGGCTAACATGTCTTTCAAGAGGCTACGCATTTCTTTGTAAATGGTTGGGGGTACTGACCTATACCTCTCGCGAATAGGATTTGCATCACCTGTTGTTATGGTGTGTTTCACAGCACTCGTCCGCCCATAGTCCTCTTCGTGGGTAGAGAAGACATGCCGCCATCGATTTAGCAGCTCGTCCAACTTCCCCTGTTCCTCCTCCGTCAGTCCATCTCCCCCAGGGACAGGAACAGCAGGGCTTACGTTGGTTGATTCTGGTTTGGGAGCAGCATCGACCAGGCGGACTTCCACGACTCCGGGATCCACCTCCACCAAGGACAGCTCCTTACCGTCCCTAATGCTGTCGGGGTCGATAGCTGTAACTGTCGCCAGCCTCTGGAACCTGCTCAGCTGAACCGCGTAAGGATGAATATTCCTGAGCCGCACAGGAATACGGCCCTTTCCCACAGTCACCAGGGCTCTTGCCACCTCGACCCCTCCGTTTTCCCCAAGGGGTTCTACTAGTGCCTCACATTGCCAATGTTGGGACGATAGAGGAATTTTGGCCCAAAGAGTCATTTCGCTCTGTGCAGGGATGGTAACAGGGGTGCGGCTGGCTAACCTTGCCGTTGCTTTCCATGGGTCGGCAGAAGAGACCGTGCGTATGCGTTGGCAGTCCGCAAACACAGAGTGCCACTCTCGACCCAGCAGCGGTTTTGACTGTTTGGAGGACACCTGGCATTTGTTAAAAAGCTCTTCCCAACAGTCCGCAATTACATTCATTCCAAGGATTGCTTTATCGGCTCCCACACAACTGTCCTTAGCAACTACAATGCCGCGCGCTGGCACCCGGACCCCCTGCACCACAAAGTCTGCCACTAGGTAACCCACCCACGGAATGTTTAGCCCATTAGCAGCCCTCAGCGTCAACCAGGGTAGTTCCTTACTACCTCTAAGCTTTTCACCCCCGAGGAGGTTCCTGCAGACACTCTCGCTAAACAAAGTTACCTGCGAACCGGTGTCTACCAAACACGTAACATTTACTCCGTCTACTTCTACCTCCACCAGGGGGCAATTTCCCGTAAGTTTAGCCTTAGGGTTCTCTTCACTCGGGTCGCAAAAAGGGGGTCCGGACACTTGACCCGCAGTGGCCGGGGAACTTAAAAATCCTGACCAGATGCCTTTAACGGACACCTACGACCAATATGACCGGTTTGTTCACACAAGTTACATATAGGGCGGCCTTGGGGGTCCCACTTGAATCTAGCATTGGGGGATCTTTGTCTCGGGCTATTTCTCTGCCTGGGAGCAATAAATGGAGGGGCTGCTCCCTTTAACTCTTCGATAAGAGTCGCAGCTACTGCAGACATTTGCTCTTTCACGTCCTTCATAATTTCAGCTCGCAATTGTTGTTTCCAGTCGGTCACATGCGAACTCGTGGATGGTGTTCTACTCACCACTAAGCAGTCATGTGGAGGCCATTGTTCTGCCTGCTCCTCCTCTATGGCCAGAGCCTCTGTTTTCACCTCGTCGAAGGTGAGTGCAGGCCTTTTTCGCACCTGCCGTCTCAGTTCCTGGCGGATGGGGCCATCCTTGAGGCCCATAACGAACTGGTCTCTCAACATTAAGTCCCCTTGTTCAAAGCCCATGGCATCCTTCTGCTTCAACCTGGAAAAGAGTTCACGCAATCGTAATGAAAAAGCTCTCAAGGTCTGGTTGGGCTCTTGTCTGCAATTGAAGAACTGAGTCCTCAATGTGGAAACATGTGTGTTGTCCCCATACAGGGCAGACAATATACCAAAGATCTTAGCGGGTGTATTTCTTTCAGTGCGGTCTAGGGTGAGAACTTCTCGTTTGGCCTCTCCGTCCAAAAGTCCAAAAATAAAGTCTGCTTTTTGAGAGTCCCCCATCGGTTGGAATGTGAGCATAGTCTCTACTTGGCTCCTCCATTCTCCAAACTTAATAGACGATTCAGCCCCACTAAATTTAGACGCCCAAGGTCCCCCCATAAAGAAGGGCATCATCATAACAGGCTGTGCACCTGACCGATTTTCCTCTGTTGGCATATTGATTTAATAGAGGCTCAACCCAAAGGACCAAATCCTGTCAGCAACGCCAAATTCTGTCACCAGGGGGCGCAATGCCCCAACTAGATCTTTAAAACCAATGGTCCAAGGGGAGTGGCTCTATCAAAACAATACACCGGGGTTGAAAAATTAACAATTTATTACAATATATAATGTTTAAAATGTCACTAAAAGGCTACACTAAAAATCCAAAGATGAATCCCTCTAAAAACTGAATAGTCCAATATAGATCCAAGTGGGCGCTTGGGGTGGTGGTCCGGTCCCAGGGCACGTCCCGGAGGCCTATGGAGGGTCAAACAGGGCGGCAGTCAATACACCGGGTTACAGGAGCCTGAGCGTTGCTTGGCTCTCCACAAGACGCTCTCAGTGAAAATGTGCAACACTTAGCTGAGAGGAGGGGGATGGCGAACTCTCCCCCTCCGCTTCTCCACAGCGCGTCCTCTCAGCTTCTCCCACGCTGGTCGCAGTGCCTGGGACAGAGGGCAGACCGGCCGTCAATCTCCCAGGTCAGTGACAGGAATAATATACCCCAGTACTGCGCAGTCAGGCTTTGGCATACAGACACACACAGCACAAAAAAAAACCACACGTAGCCCTGCCTGCACAGCGGAACAAAACGGGTACTTAGCTGGGAGGAGGGGGTTCGTTACACTCTCCCCCTCCGCGATTCCCACGGTGCGTCCTGCCACTGGCCACTCGATGTCCGTCTCACAGCGCTGCTCCGTCGTGCCCAAGTGCTGCCTCCCGCTTGTCCAGTTCTCCGCACCCTGCTCTGCTGCTCCGCTCTCCACACCTGCTTGCCTCTCAATCACGCACACCTGTCCCTGATATCCCAATTCCAGTGGGCCGGGTCACAGTCATTCACAAACACGCAACCACTCACACACACGCACGCACACTCACGCACGCTCACGCACGCTCACGCACGCTGTCAAGTTGCCCCGTGACACTTAACACCAGGGCTTCCACTTCAAAATTCGAATATAATTCTAAAATAAAAAATATATACATATTTGAACAAATATTAGACAACCCTTATAATTAGAAATGTATTTAATGACTGCAAATAAAATAGTTAGCTCCCAAAGGTTTCACCGGGACGTGCTAGGCAGGTAACAGCTAAGCTAGCTAGCTGTTTCATGGTAACTTCCGGGTTTTTCGCGATCGCTTTTTGTCACTTTAAAACAGTATTTTTGTCATGAAAACGTTGACAGCAAATTCTGAAATCGTCCGTGCATGTGTGTTAAGGATGTGTATGTATACTGTATGGTCCGATTGACGTTTAATGGTGTTGATTGATGGATATGTATTTGTTTATTGAGCGTGACTAGCTCCGCTAGCTTCTCTACACAGACAAGTGTGCAGAAAAACTGCACAATGTAGTGACAGGCGCTGATACTGTAGCTTGTTGTACTTGCAAAGTAATGTCAGTATTTTACACACCTGAATTACAAACAGAGATTGCATTGGGGCTGCGGTCATTATTGGTTTGAGAGTTCTGTTATCAAGAAAAAATGATCGGAAGAATTGCATTCAAGTCAATGAAGTGCTGCTGCTGGCAGGAGCTGTATAATAAATTATAATTAAATATTAGAATATATTCTAATGTTTAAATTAATACATCCGGACGCGAATGGTATTCTTTTACTTATATATTGATTTAGCAGTGCATTGCTTTAGTACCATTTCATCAGTGATTGTTGTACAGCTTACAAGTTGCGCTAATGCTAATGTTAGCATAGTATCAGATCGCAAATAAAACTAGGTGGCTCCGTGTTATGAGAGCGTGGGGGAAATGAGAAGCCTGTGAGCGAGTTGGGGGGCGGTGCTAAACATTCAAACATTGTAGAAACGGGTATAGCGCCTTTAAACTTGATGTTGCTTCCACAGATTTTTGAAAAACACCATGGAAGCCACTCGAAATGTTTCCACCTGCTGTTGGGCAGGGCTGGTATGGGGAAAACCACCTGCATTAAGAAGCTTTGCCACGATTGGTCCAAGAATCGCTTCCCCCAGTTCGACTTTGTGTTCCTCTTAGACGGGAGACTTCTCACTGTAACGGAACCAAAATACAGCCTCAAAACACTACTGCTCCAACTCTCCTCGTTCACTCCCTTCTGCTCTACCTCTGCGGCGGTGTTTGCCCAAATCCTCGCCACCCCCAGACGTACGCTGGTCATATTCGACGGCTTTGAAGACCTTCGCGAAATTGAAATACTCATACAACCTTTAGAGCAAAATGTGACCACTTGTTTACAGAAATACAGTAATGCTACAACTTTTACAATTCGACAACTGTATTCCGCAATTCTGCAAAGACTTGTGCTTCCCGGTTGCTCTCTTCTGCTTTCATCGAGGCCAAGAGGCAACGCAAGTCTACTGCTGCGAAAAGTGGACAATCTCTTAGAAATGCATGGATTTTCATCTTCGGATATAGAGATGTACATCAGGCAATACTTTCCTGATGCAGACATCCAAAATCTTACTCTACAATGCTTTAGAAACTGTAGTTATCTCACTTTTATATGCTGGAATCCTGGGATATGCCATCTAGTTTGCATGGGGTTAGAACAGCATGTCATTAAGGATGATCCACCAAAGACGTTGACGGCGATTTGCTATAGGGTGCTGCATCAGAAACTAAATGGTTTGAGCGATGAGAGAATACTGTCGTCTATGGAGTCTGTTGAAGAAGTCACCGTGAGCAATGTAACCGCAACACAAAGCAACGCAAACCCGTGTGTGAGGCAAAAAGCATCACAAAGGACAGAAGAAAGCAGTCGTGGAGAGACGGAAGGGTTCCTGTCTGAGCTGAGGAGTCTTGCCTGGGATACAATCAAAGACAATTCTACTATAATTACAAGTGATTTTCCCATATCGTGCAAAACTAGAGCCGCCGGACTCAAGGCTGGGCTCCTGAAGGCTACCGGAGTGGGAAGGAGATGTGTGTCGGGCGCTGAAAAAGAGAAGAGAGACGCAGATGACGAGAAGCAAATGATCGGTGATGTTGCCAAAGAAATGGAGTGTGTGGGAATTTGTGAACATGAAGTTTTGTCGTGGGCCAACCCTTTTCTTCAGAGCTACTTGGCAGCTGTTCACTTGTCACTCACATTGCAAAGGTAAGAATGAATTATAGTTCAAGAGGTGATATATTAGCAATGTTATGGAATCGTCTCTAAACATCGCCTGAGTTTATATTGAAGTTAAATCTTTCTGAGACCCGGGTTTTTTCCCAAATTTTCAGCTGATTTAAGTTTTGGCGTTGTCTTTCTACCGACAGAAGCCATCTGCAGTCTAAGTACCCCGGGCGTATGAGTACATGAGCCCCTTTGTCCTGGTTTACTGTCCTGTAGGCCTGTTTATGTATTTCATCTTTATTGATGTGTTGTAAATTATTTTTAGGGGTTTGCTCAACAAAGTAGAGTTATATTTGAATATTATATTGTATACAATATTGATGATTTGTATAGTAATAGTATTTTTATTTAGATATTTCTCAGCTTTTTTTCCTTTAAAATAATCATATATATCTATTTTTATTTTAATAACATAACATAATATAACGTAAAATAAGTGGCCAAAAGATACGTATCATGAGATGAAAGATACTCAGCTACTACTACTACTTACAACACCCAGTAATATTGTATACCTGATTATAGTGACATTTATATATCTTTAAATGTTGCTTTAAATCTTGCCTGAAAGATTCATTTGATATAACTATTTTAGCCAAGGATGTATTATTCCTTGACACAGTTTCTCTCTTTTCATCCCTGCAGCTCTATATTTAAAAAAACCCTCTCATTCCGATGTGAAACGAGCACCAAGGGACGACGGCGGCCTCTGAGAGAAGAGTTTGAACTAACCCAGCGCTTTGCTGTGGGACTGCTTTTCCAAAACCGAGCCGATCTTCTCTGGCTCCATCCCGACGACAACTTAAACAATATATTGCTGATCAAACAAACTTCTCTGTTCACACACATAAGAAACCACAAGTTTAGACTCCTCAAGCCTTCCCAAATCCTGAATTTGTGCCATTTCATTTATGAGGGATCTCTCACAACCTTTGGACAATCCGCAGACACAACAACATCTCGTTTGGCCCGACAGGTCTTTGATAGTCTTCCAGAGAATCTCACGTTCAACGGAGTTCCGCTCACCCCGGCCGATGTTCACGCAATCAAGAACATTGTGGAATATGGAGAAGAACAGAGGTTTTCTCTAGACCTTACAGACAGTGGGATTCAAGTGTCTGGGCTGAGATCTTTGGTGGGACTCAACACCGTAAAGACATACAGGTAATGGCTTTTCAAATGGTCATTAACCCTCTCATTGCCCAATTAATTTTGAATGACAGGAAAAATCTGATGTTTGGGGAAAATTAACATATGGAGTAGTAATATACAATCCTGACCTTTTTTTTGAGAGAGAGACTTTCACAGGCAATTTCTTCTGGGATGTTGCAGATTTGCAACATTGGCCCGCTCTGGTAGATAGATCTGACCCGGGGAAAAACCTAGAGGAGAGATAATCTACTAATTGGCATGTATTATATCTACATATACTGTATTTATCTTTCATTTCATGCATATTAGAGGTTGGTCGTGATACTGACTTAAAATTGATGCCTAGAAAATCTTGGAAGTGAGACAGCTCCACCCCCTGGTGAGCAGGTGTTGCAAATATGCAACGCCTGTCTGGAGATGTTTAAGTGAAGTTTTCTCTGACGACGTGTCTTTGTCTTTCTAGAGCTTGCATTGTTGACGTCATTAGCTTGTGGGAGGAGCTTGAAAAACAAAAAGAAGATGGCTTTACCTGCGATGCTGTGACCAAGTTCAAGATAGACCCGTTCAAAGCGACTCAAGTTTGTCATGTTGAACATCTGGCCAAGTTGGTGGACATACACACAAACAAGAGACTTCCTGAGTGGTAACATACTTATGACACTTGTCAATACTTCATATTCGAACATTTTGTTGACAATGTGGTGTTTCTTCTACAGCCAAATGAGTTCAATCTTTGCTGAAGGGGTAGCAGCAGTGAGAGATCTGCACAAGCTCGAGTTGGAGTAAGTTAAAGTTTACCAAATGTGTTCTTTCCATCATTATTGATGCTTTCATTGGTGCTTTCCACATGTGCTGTGTGTGTACTCACACTCATATGCAACCTAACTAGCTAGTATAACATGACAGTTATACTTTACTTTATTTAAAGTCAGAAGACAACAACGGACCAGAAAGTGCTGTAGTGTGGTCTTGAATGATGGCTTTTTCATCTCCCACAGGTTTCCTTTTACAATATTAACTATTAGTGTAAATTTGGATTGATCTTGTTTTTATATGTACAAATTTAAGCCAATTGTGAAGTTTTATGTTCAGAGCAAAGACATATTTTTGGTAATAAGTTAAAAATGTTTAACTTTCAATCATAATTTTTTAAACTTCCAATCATAATCTTTGAGAAGCACTCTTTTTCTTTTCATTATTGCCATGTTGACTAATGGCCAAAGAGCGATTAACTCCAAATATACAGACAAAAAAAAAAAAACTGAAATTACCATGAACCAATAGATTGTTATCCACGAATAAATGATCATCTCACCGCTCTCAACTTCATACCTCGTGTGCCAGCAACCGAAAAGCCCCCGGCCCCCCGTCTGGATCTGCAAAGAAATAAACAGAATCAATGATTTAAGGCATGAAAATGATGGTACATATTGCTTGTGAACAGAGTGGTTTGGCTCTAGACCTTTGCTATATTGTCCAGATGTTCCAGATGGTCCTCCTCCATGTAACTGCATGCAAAGCATCTGCCAGTTATAATCAGGGTGAAATAAAAATTTTTGGAGCTTTTTCACATATGCGTCACCTGTCAGTGTGAATGAGAGCTCACCTGTAATACCTGTTGACGTCATCATTTTTCCATGAATACAAACAAAAAATGAAGAATGAGTAACAGACAGTAGAAAGATTGGAAATGTAGGGCACATTTACAGAAGTACTTTCTGAGATTCCGAACTGAAACCGAACGAGTACATAACAAACAATTTGTAAAAAAAATGTGAGGAATTGCATGATTCTCAGGCCCAAGTCTGGATAGAGTACCTCCCGTGCCCCAAGTTTCCCTACCACTAATACATGTAACAGCAAACACACAATGAGAATAATTCTTGATAAGAAGCGAATTAGAGACAGTATATAGACTCAAATGTATGGCAGACGTCTCTAAAACATACCGGCCATTGTGAGTAACAAGAATCACAAATAAGGAAATGGCTTTGCTCTCGGTGCAAACAAGCAAAAAATAGAAGTAAGTAAGTAGCTGTATGGATATACCGCCTTTCACAGACCAGAGTCACAAAGCGGTTTACAATTGTTTTTTTTGGGGGGCACTTGTCCTCTCACTCCACACAGAGATGGGAGCGGGGTGCGCCGAACAGGAGGCGCCATGCAGAACTATTGTTACATATTTTTCAGTGGTAGGGGAAACGGAGATACACCGGAGTAACCTACGCAGACATGGGTGAGAACATGATAACTCCACTCAGAAAGGCCCTGGTGCCGGCGGGATTCGAAAATTCTTGTCTGAGACGGCGAGAGATGTGCTATCCACTCAGCCACCGTGCCGCCCCTGTATATGCTTATAAATAAGATACCGTTTCTTAAAGTTTCAACTATAAGTGCAGGAGAGTACACCAATAGGCATTTATCAGTGCAATTAAGATAAGATAAGATAAGATAAACCTATATTAGTCTCACAGTGGATGAAATTTCAGTGTCATCGTTGCGCACATTACCGCAGAGAAAGGAAATAAAGTGACTCAAGTTTAAGGTAATGTATTCACAGCATTGTTCCTCACTCTCATACCATTTTGGTTCCATCACTATAATTCAACATTCATGGATGTTTTAGCCGGGTCACGTCTTTTGGCTCAAACTTTTTAGGGTGAAAACTAGAGCTTTTTCTCACTCAGCCAGTCAGCACTCAGTAGTCCCACGCGCGATGTTTTCATAAAAGATGTGTGGTCTGCGTTGTTTAATAAACATGTTACTGAAAAATAACCGTCTCTCTGTTTGGAGACAAATAGCATGGTAATTAAGCCAAAAGTTAGTTACAAATAATACTGAACCAGTCTGATTCGCAGCCAGAGCAGAGTCTGACAGGACAGAATGGCACTGTTTTCCTCTCTCGACGCGGGTACTGACCCTAGAATGACCCTGGACCCGGACGCGGACTGACCTGGACGCGGGTCCTGCAGCACTTCAGTCAGTAGGTCTGTAGATTAAATTATTGATTTTATTTCTTGACCTTTATTAATCCAGGATATTTCGTATTCCTGTCTTTTGGTCACTTACAGTGTTAGATCCAGATTAGGTTTTGGGTGAGAAAAGTGGCTCGATGATAATTGCGTTTCCCTTTGAACCAAGGTTTAGTTTAGCCGAACGTTTGATATTCGCCAAAACACTCTCAAAGTTTGTCCGTATTTTCAGTTTCGTTATGTGTGTAGTATTAGATAATGTTCACATTGTTGCCACTCATCAAAAACACTTTACTTAGGCTGCAGCTGATGATTTAAAACATGAAAAACCATGAAGAAGATTAAGGCCCCGTCCCAATTCTGAGGGCCCTGAGTGCCCTCACCAAAAAAGTGCCTTCACATTGGGGACTCACAGGATATTCTCCCTAAGAATTGAGACACCCCCGGATCTAGGGGACAATATGCAAATGACGTGTACCACGTCACACGCATTATTAATGTGTCTGATTTCCCCCCAGATAAGATTATGACACTGATATGACTTCATTAAACATAGTATTTATTAAATGAGACGTTTTTAATTCTATTTCATATGAAGATTTGCTATAATTAGGTACAGAAACTGCTGCACATCACGCACTAGACAGACATAGAGACAGATACACGCACACAGACACATGTGTACACACACACACACTTTTTTGCTTCATCTACATTTTACTCCATACTCATGTCTTTATTGATTTTTTTTTCTCCACTCTGAGATCAGTAAAAAGGTTCTTATCTTGAAGAAAGTAAGTCTGCCTCCACATTTCTGTCATTATTTATTCAAATTACAACAACGTAACCTCTTTAACACATTTATAAAACATTTGGTCTGTGAAAGAAGTGCATCAGAAATACTTTGGACAGTTGACTGCAGTCATGTGGCCGTCTGTGCAGTTTCCCTGTTGGAGCAGTAGTCTTGGATACCTGCGGACACAAAACACCAGACGCATGAACAATGACCGCCGCAAATGAACTGAGCAAGTAGTTTTGTCCTTTTCTTTACTTCCTCTCTGGTTTTTAAACATACTATGAATATGACTTTTACTTTAGCACTCTGTGACTTTTACTTTAGCACAGGTGTGTCCGTCCCTGCAGCTGCTCAGCCACATATTTGGATAACCAGGGTTTTTGATGCTGACCTGGGAAGTACCTGCTCGACCGGCTGGCACAGTTTGTGTGTAGTCAAATATGAAACTAAACACCACCAACATTATTAATTATTATTATTATCATTATTAAGTTCTGATGGATGATTTTGGTGATGCAGCACCTTTCTAGTGTTGTTGAAGCCAAAGCAGAGGACACGTCTGAGGTTCAGTTCATACACTTCAATTTGTAGTTTCCTTTTAACATTGAGAAAAGACCATCCTTGTTCATATTTTCTAAAACTATTTTAAAAAGGTGTTTTCTTATATCCATCTGTTTGTTCATAGTGTTATAAAAGCGTTTGTACTAAAGCCGTTTGCTTGATCCTGTGATAATAATTGATTACAGCGTTGTTCTTTACACCAGATAAAGAATGCATATCTCGCACATCACAAACTTGTGAAAATGAAATTACTCAATTTATGTGAGGAGTCCTGCCTTGAGCTTCATTCATTTGATGTATTTTTGGTTGCTTGGCAACCAGCCATCTATGGCATTCTTGGTTCTGGACTGGAATGTTATGTTTTGTTTAAATAAAGCTTTTCAAACTACGTTGACGAAACCACCTCCGTGACATCATTCAGAAGTATGTGTATGTTGTGTTGCCTTGGTAACAAGTCAATGATATGTCTTTGTGGATCTGCACCCAACACTGAGGTTGGTTGGTAGGTGTGTGGGACGGCGCAGGTGTACGAGTCATGTTGCCCAAGGACCAGGACCGGGACAAGGTCCGGGACCCAGACCGAGTACAGGTCGGAACCAGGGCGGAGCCAGAACCCGATCCAATACAGGAACACAACCTGTTCCAGGACCGGTGCGAAGGCCGCGACCCCGGACCAGTACCTAGTACCGTATCGGGAACCGAGCCAGGACCGGACCAGGTCTTAGGGAAAGGACCAGGACCAGGACAACGACAAGGAGGACAGGAATTTTTTTGTTTTTGCAGGTTTTTTATTTGTTGAAAAATAACAGAACAATGAATCATTTTTCTTTCTTTCACAGTTGTGTTTCCTGTTTGTGAACTTTCAGCCAAAAAATCTAAATAAGATCTTTATCTTTATAATTGTAAACATGACAAAATGTGCGAGTTCAAGGTGTATTAATACTTTTGAGAGGCATTGTGGGTATATTTGTGGATCGCCCAAAAAACCCACAACAGCAGTCGTCTCGGAGGACTCTTACAACAACAGATCAGAGAATCAAACAGTTGAAACTCAGGAGATATACAGTAATAACAACAAACACACAGGAGCCATTGGTCCACAGGCAGCGGGACCACCACTGTCTCCAGATCTCATCCAGAATCTTTGGAGGTGGTTGTAAGGCAAAACATCACTGCTCTAAAAGAGATCTGCAGGAGGAACGGGCCAAAATACCAGCAAGTGTGTGGAGAACTTATAGACTTACAGAAAATGTTTGACCTCTGTCACTGCCAACAAAGGGAATATTACAAAGCATTGAGATGTACTTTTGTTATTTACTAAAAACTAAACTATGAGAGAGAGCAGTGAGAAGCATCAACGCACAAATAAATATGAAAAGATAAACACCATTACATTGTATTGTGATTATTTATGATTTTAATACTATCTTAAGCAGCACTTTGAGTTGCCTTGTGTATGATTTGTGCTTTACTAATAAACTTGCCATTGCAAAGAACACACACGAACACACTTTTTTGCTTCATCTACATTTTACTCCATACTCATGTCTTTATTGTTTTTTTCTCCACTCTGAGATTAGTAAAAAGGTTCTTATCTTGAAGAAAGTAAGTCTGCCTCCACATTTCTGTCATTATTTATTCAAATTAAAACAACGTAACCTCTTTAACACATTTATAAAACATTTGGTCTGTGAAAGAAGTGCATCAGAAATACATTGGACAGTTGACTGCAGTCATGTGGCCGTCTGTGCAGTTTCCCTGTTGGAGCAGTAGTCTTGGATACCTGCGGACACAAAACACCAGACGCATGAACAATGACCGCCGCAAATGAACTGAGCAAGTAGTTTTGTCCTTTTCTTTACTTCCTCTCTGGTTTTTAAACATACTATGAATATGACTTTTACTTTAGCACTCTGTGACTTTTACTTTAGCACTCTGTGACTTTTACTTTAGCCCTCTGTGAGTGACTTTTACTTTAGCCCTCTGTGACTTTTACTTTAGCACTCTGTGACTTTTACTTTAGCAATCTGTGACTTTTACTTTAGCACTCTGTGAGTGACTTTTACCTTAGCACTCTGTGACTTTTACTTTAGCACTCTGTGAGTGACTTTTACTTTAGCACAAGTGTGTCCGTCCCTGCAGCTGCTCAGCTGCTCTGTTTGTTCATAGTGTTATAAAAGCGTTTGTACTAAAGCTGTTTGCTGATCTTGTGATAATAATTGATTATAGCGTTGTTCTTTACACCAGATAAATAATGCATATCTCGCACATCACAAACTCGTGAAAATGAAATTACTCAATTTATGTGAGGAGTCCTGCCTTGAGCTTCATTCATTTGATGTATTTTTGGTTGCTTGGCAACCAGCCATCTATGGCATTCTTGGTTCTGGACTGGAATGTTATGTTTTGTTTAAATAAAGCTTTTCAAACTACGTTGACGAAACCACCTCCGTGACATCATTCAGAAGTATGTGTATGTTGTGTTGTCTTGGTAACAAGTCAATGATATGTCTTTGTGGATCTGCGCCCAACACTGAGGTTGGTTGGTAGGGTGGTGGGACGGCGCAGGTGTACGAGTCATGTTGCCCAAGGACCAGGACCGGGACAAGGTCCGGGACCCAGACCGAGTACAGGTCGGAACCAGGGCGGAGCCAGAACCCGATCCAATACAGGAACACAACCTGTTCCAGGACCGGTGCGAAGGCCGCGACCCCGGACCAGTACCTAGTACCGTATCGGGAACCGAGCCAGGACCGGACCAGGTCTTAGGGAAAGGACCAGGACCAGGACGGCGACAAGGAGGACAGGTATTTTTTTTTTTTTTTTTTTCAGGTTTTTTATTTGTTGAAAAATAACAGAACAATGAATCATTTTTCTTTCTTTCACAGTTGTGTTTCCTGTTTGTGAACTTTCAGGCAAAAAATCTAAATAAGATCTTTATCTTTATAATTGTGTAAGGTGAGAAATAGGGCAGGCGCAGTCGAGCGTGAAATAGCAGCCCTTCTCGTAACATGCCCCTCCCGAACTCCGGGAACTTCAAAAGAAACTACGGGTTCAATGGAAGGCTAACATCTGCCAGGACACTGCAAGAAAACAGACAGAGGGGCAATAAAACAGCAGGACAAACACCGGCGCCTCTTTCTGTCTGACAGGGGTGAATGATGCTCGTTCTCTATCGACCAGAACACATTCCACAAACCGGAGACTCACCCGCGGCGTTCTGGCGCCCCCCAGCGGACATTGAACACTATCACACCCGAGGCGGACACTCGAGTCGGATATTCCCCGATGACATTATGTTGATAACCGTTACGGACACTACTCGTATGTGGCGTTGTCTGTGATGTGAATGCACTGTGTATCGGTATATGATTATGAACGATAGAATGTCTATATGTGTTGTGTTTCGCCTGTGTGAACATGTCGGCTCAAAGGGGCACCTAAAGATGACGTCACGGACGCGCCCACCTTGACCACAACAAAACCAAAGCGCGGACCTACAGACGGCCTCTTGTCTTTCCTGAAATCACCATTTCAGCCCCTTTCCTGCCCTCCGTGTCTCGTGGTACGCGTCTCCTACTGCGGCCGCGACTGCACGCATCGGGCCTTCTACTCCGCAACACAGCCCTCTTTCCTGGCTCGGGATCTTATGAACTGTTACACCACCAAGCCTCTTTTCCTGGCTGGACCCTCCGCACACAACTCATTCCGGACTGTGTCGTGTGAGCGCGGATCAAAGTTGGACGAGATTCGCTGGCTTCATATATCCCGCCTGCCCGGACAAAGAAACCACGTGGGCCCTTCCCATCCCAAATCCTTTCTTCATCCTCCACGCTCTTCAAAAGTAAGACTGTTCCTCTTGTTGGTGTGTGTTTCAAATGCGATGTATACAACTTCTGTTTAATGTGACCAGAAATCCCCTTCGTTATATTTTCTATCGTCATTTTTGTAGTCAATAAACCCCTTTACTTTAACTCAATCCTATCAGAGTCGTGTTGTTAAATTTTGGATATCTCTGGCTGATAAACGCATTCATTACCTATCAGATTATAAGACTGAATCGAGGCAAAGATTAGTTGGATCTGTGCAGAAGTTTTCAATCTCTGCTGGTGCCCAAAATAAAAGCAGATCCCCACTCGTGTAGTACGGCAGACTCTGATTTAGAGACTACCCGCACTACACTACATCTTACAATTCTTCTCATACCAATATTATTACCCTACAATTGTAAACATGACAAAATGTGCGAGTTCAAGGTGTATTAATACTTTTGAGAGGCATTGTGGGTATATTTGTGTATCGCCCAAAAAACCCACAACAGCAGTCGTCTCGGAGGACTCTTACAACAACAGATCAGAGAATCAAACAGTTGAAACTCAGGAGATATACAGTAATAACAACAAACACACAGGAGCCATTGGTCCACAGGCAGCGGGACCACCACTGTCTCCAGATCTCATCCAGAATCTTTGGAGGTGGTTGTAAGGCAAAACATCACTGCTCTAAAAGAGATCTGCAGGAGGAACGGGCCAAAATACCAGCAAGTGTGTGGAGAACTTATAGACTTACAGAAAATGTTTGACCTCTGTCACTGCCAACAAAGGGAATATTACAAAGCATTGAGATGTACTTTTGTTATTTACTAAAAACTAAACTATGAGAGAGAGCAGTGAGAAGCATCAACGCACAAATAAATATGAAAAGATAAACACCATTACATTGTATTGTGATTATTTATGATTTTAATACTATCTTAAGCAGCACTTTGAGTTGCCTTGTGTATGATTTGTGCTTTACTAATAAACTTGCCATTGCAAAGAACACACACGAACACACTTTTTTGCTTCATCTACATTTTACTCCATACTCATGTCTTTATTGTTTTTTTCTCCACTCTGAGATTAGTAAAAAGGTTCTTATCTTGAAGAAAGTAAGTCTGCCTCCACATTTCTGTCATTATTTATTCAAATTACAACAACGTAACCTCTTTAATACATTTATAAAACATTTGGTCTGTGAAAGAAGTGCATCAGAAATACATTGGACAGTTGACTGCAGTCATGTGGCCGTCTGTGCAGTTTCCCTGTTGGAGCAGTAGTCTTGGATACCTGCGGACACAAAACACCAGACGCATGAACAATGACCGCCGCAAATGAACTGAGCAAGTAGTTTTGTCCTTTTCTTTACTTCCTCTCTGGTTTTTAAACATACTATGAATATGACTTTTACTTTAGCACTCTGTGACTTTTACTTTAGCACTCTGTGACTTTTACTTTAGCCCTCTGTGAGTGACTTTTACTTTAGCACAGGTGTGTCCGTCCCTGCAGCTGCTCAGCCACACATTTGGATAACCAGGGTTTTTGATGCTGACCTGGGAAGTACCTGCTCGACCGGCTGGCAAAGTTTGTGTGTAGTCAAATATGAAACTAAACACCACCAACATTATTAATTATTATCATTATTAAGTTCTGATGGATGATTTTGGTGATGCAGCACCTTTCTAGTGTTGTTGAAGCCAAAGCAGAGGACACGTCTGAGGTTCAGTTCATACACTTCAATTTGTAGTTTACTTTTAACTTTGAGAAAAGACCATCCTTGTTCATATTTTCTAAAACTATTTTAAAAAGGTGTTTTCTTATATCCATCTGTTTGTTCATAGTGTTATAAAAGCGTTTGTACTAAAGCTGTTTGCTGATCCTGTGATAATGATTGATTACAGCGTTGTTCTTTACACCAGATAAATAATGCATATCTCGCACATCACAAACTCGTGAAAATGAAATTACTCAATTTATGTGAGGAGTCCTGCCTTGAGCTTCATTCATTTGATGTATTTTTGGTTGCTTGGCAACCAGCCATCTATGGCATTCTTGGTTCTGGACTGGAATGTTATGTTTTGTTTAAATAAAGCTTTTCAAACTACGTTGACGAAACCACCTCCGTGACATCATTCAGAAGTATGTGTATGTTGTGTTGTCTTGGTAACAAGTCAATGATATGTCTTTGTGGATCTGCGCCCAACACTGAGGTTGGTTGGTAGGGTGGTGGGACGGCGCAGGTGTACGAGTCATGTTGCCCAAGGACCAGGACCGGGACCAGGACCGGGACCCAGACCGAGTACAGGTCGGAACCAGGGCGGAGCCAGAACCCGATCCAATACAGGAACACAACCTGTTCCAGGACCGGTGCGAAGGCCGCGACCCCGGACCAGTACCTAGTACCGTATCGGGAACCGAGCCAGGACCGGACCAGGTCTTAGGGAAAGGACCAGGACCAGGACGGCGACAAGGAGGACAGGTATTTTTTTTTTTTTTTTGCAGGTTTTTTATTTGTTGAAAAATAACAGAACAATGAATCATTTTTCTTTCTTTCACAGTTGTGTTTCCTGTTTGTGAACTTTCAGGCAAAAAATCTAAATAAGATCTTTATCTTTATAATTGTAAACATGACAAAATGTGCGAGTTCAAGGTGTATTAATACTTTTGAGAGGCATTGTGGGTATATTTGTGGATCGCCCAAAAAACCCACAACAGCAGTCGTCTCGGAGGACTCTTACAACAACAGATCAGAGAATCAAACAGTTGAAACTCAGGAGATATACAGTAATAACAACAAACACACAGGAGCCATTGGTCCACAGGCAGCGGGACCACCACTGTCTCCAGATCTCATCCAGAATCTTTGGAGGTGGTTGTGAGGCAAAACATCACTGCTCTAAAAGAGATCTGCAGGAGGAACGGGCCAAAATACCAGCAAGTGTGTGGAGACAAAACACCAGACGCATGAACAATGACCGCCGCAAATGAACTGAGCAAGTAGTTTTGTCCTTTTCTTTACTTCCTCTCTGGTTTTTAAACATACTATGAATATGACTTTTACTTTAGCACTCTGTGACTTTTACTTTAGCACTCTGTGACTTTTACTTTAGCCCTCTGTGAGTGACTTTTACTTTAGCACAGGTGTGTCCGTCCCTGCAGCTGCTCAGCCACACATTTGGATAACCAGGGTTTTTGGTGCAGACCTGGGAAGTACCTGCTCGACCGGCTGGCAAAGTTTGTGTGTAGTCAAATAGGTGTTTTCTTATATCCATCTGTGTGTTCATAGTGTTATTAGAGCAGGTGTACGAGTCAGAGAATCCCCAAGGACAGGGACAAGGACCGGAACCCGGACCTGAGCCAGGACCAGGAACACCACCTGGGGCCATAAACTTAAATATTCTGAGAGTCCTCTCAGAGAGCTCCAAACTTAACCTAAAAACCCCTGGCTAGGAGTTTTCGCTTAACAGAAGATTCTCAGAGAACTCTGTACAAGGAATGGACACAAACTCCTTAACAATAAGGCGTCGCCGACCCCTTTTCTAGGTACGAGTCATATCCTGTATCACACCTCCTGCATCACATTGATAGTTATCTGTATTTTCTGATATTAATTGAAATGCTGGTCATGTTTTTTTCTTTCAACTTTTTCCATTTCTACTCACTTTGGTGTAACAAGGGTAAAATGGCTCAGCTGTGATTGCTGACCAGTCTATAAGAAGCCGTGTTGGTTGACTTTCAAGCTCAAGGAACTCTCTTAAGAGCTAGGATTCTTTAGGAATAGCTTTTTTCTTAAATAGAATCTACTCTTAAATTTTAGGGGAAATTCTAAGTGCGTCAAGATTCTAAGAATACGGCCCCTGAACTGCTGTTCACAAATGCTCTCCATCAAACTGGACAGAGCTCAAGTTGTTTTGTAAAAAGGAATTAGCTAAACCTTTTGTCTCTAGGTGTGCAAATCTTGTACAGTCATACCCATAGACTGTAAATACCCCAAAGACTGCTGTTGTCCTTGCAGCAAAAGGGGGCGCTGTATCTCAAGTTAAAATGCTCACTTTGAACGATCTGCTGGTAGGCCTGAGCCGCGGGGGAGTCTGGCACGTCCGAGAGGAAGGAGCGGCCCTCGTCACAGCTGCGGGCGATGCGGGGGTCCAGGGGCACCCTCCCCAGCAGTGGCAGGCTCAGGTCTGAGCACAGGCCCTCTGCTCCTCCGGTCGTGGGCGGGAAAATCTGTGACGTGTTCTGCCGGGACAAGAAAGTGTTCAAGCAGTGTGAAAGAAACTGTGGATGCTATTAATCCCTTATGGATCCAATGTCTGGATTTGTTGTTGTCAGCAAAAACATACAAAATAACCAGCAAACTCCTAAAAAGTAATTCAAGTAATAATAAAAAATACAAATATGTTTCTCTTGTTATATTAGTGACATGTTAGTCCCATATGAACCAGCCCGGTCTCTGAGGTGCACAGGGACTGGACTCCTGTTAGTGCCCAGAGTCAGAACTAAACATGGGGAGGCTGCTTTTCAGATTCATGCTGCTAAAATCTGGAACAATCTTCCTGAAGATGTGAGACAGGCCTCCTCTCTGACAATGTTTAAAACCAGGTTAAAAACAGTTCTGTTTAGCTGTGCATACAACTGAGGGATTTTATATTTTTATCTTTCTTTTTAATGTTCTGTGATTATTTTTATTTTAATGCTATCTTGTTCAGAACTTTGAGTTGCCTTGTGTATGAATTGTGCTATACAAATAAACTTCCCTTGTTTCCAGTCAAATCAAACCTTTTGGGAATAATTCCAAACTTACAAATAAAGAAATCTCCAAACTTTAGCTCAAACCCTTTTCATTTTCAGTTAAATGTTCCTTAGCTTTCAAAAGGAGACGTGTGCTACATTTACTTTTCTGAGCATTTACCCAGATGACCACAGTGTTCCCTCATCACTCACAGACCTGAAGCTGCTTTCAGATGCATCCACAAACATGTAACCCCCACCCCTTCTGTCTCAATGCTCCTGTCTCAGTCATGACATCACACTACCTTTTAAATTAAAAGCATTCCCATACATTTCTGAAGTCAAATTTTGATCTTGGCAATCACATGGCAGCAATCACATCCAGTAGTGTTAAAATAAAAAGACTTCTACACCTCCCTCTGGTGGTAGCATTGGGGATTACAGGCCGATAGTATAATTTCTATATGAAATGAGAGAATGATTTTTAATGGCGAAAAATATAGAAGTATTTTTTATATCTTATTTATTTTCACTGCATTATTTCATCCGTGTGACTAAACGTATGCGACTCTGTGGGCGCCATGTGCAGAATCATTCACCTTGCATTTGGGGCAGACAAAGCCACTCATATTCTCCACCACTCCGATGATGGGCAGCTTGACTTTCCTGCAAAAGCTGATCTCTTTTCGCACGTCTTGAAGTGACACCTCCTACAAATAAAAGCAGTGCATCCAAATCAAATGTTAAGAAAATGTAGACATGAGAAATATGTGGCGTTAGCCTTTGTTACAAGAGACAGGACTGCAACCTCATCAGTCGCAGTCCAGATGTTATTGTTAGATCGACGCACGCTGATGATAGTACGTTTTTAAGCAAACATTCCCACCGGTTTCAATGCAACGTTAACAGTGACGTGGAATTGCATGTAAGTTGCAGCACACACTTTTGTCCGGAGCAGCAGACGCCTTGGTTGCAGTGAGGCAGAGGCGGTGGATATGGCGGCTAAATGTATGCAGCGAAAGCAGGAGATGAGATTCACTGAACATCCTTGCTCCACACAGCAACCAATCAGAGAACAGCAAAGTGGTCACAGGGACACAAGCCGGTCAAAAAACCACTCGAAAACAACCAAAACATTAAACCAGGGCTGACAAGGGGGGTCAGTGCTTGTGAACAAATGTCTTCACCCTGAGTTTACATTTTTCTGTGACTATAAACTAGTGCTGCTAACGTGTTTGCCGATGCGGAAGTACCCACCACTTCCATCCTGCGTTTCTCCCCAAGACTGAGGGACCAGGATGAGGACACGGAGGAGGACGGACACAGGTATTATTTTGTTGGTCGTCCCAAAATTTGTGGAAAGACCTAAACTGCTGTTCACAAATGCTCGCCATCTAATGGACAGAGCTCAACCTGCAGTCTCTAAATGTAGAGTCTGATCTTGTAGAGTCATACCCCAAAGACTTGCTGTTGTTCTTGCAGCAAAAGGGGGTTCCACAAAATACTCATGCAGGATGAATACTTGTGCAGGTTTTCTATTTGTTGAAAAATAACAGAATAATGAATCATTTTGCTTTCACTTCACAGTACCAGGAAGAGAAGGGAGATTGATGCCCTCATAGACAGGCACATGCACACTGTGTGTGTATGGCCTGGGTATGGGTCATTGTTTATCATGGATTTCAATTATAATACATTTCAGATGTCAAGCTTGTAAATGACTTTATTGTACATATGTGCCAATGTGTATGTAGCTACTCCTTTTGAGTACTATCATTGTGTTTATCATGTGTTTGCATGGGGCAAAGGGGTGTATGGTCGGAGTGTATGGGGCCTCTATCGTGTTTCTGTTTATTGTATGTTTGGTTTAGTGTGGTGTGAGTGGGGGCTTCCTCCTCCCATGATTGTGAATCGTAATTGACAGGAAAAGTTATTTTTTCTTTACTTGAAATAAATAAACAAACAAACAGTTGTTCACAAAAATATTGTAATGAATCAACTTGGAAACTCCAATTCAGAATCTCGCACTGAAACTCGGGCTGGGGCAGTGGTCCCGTTGGTCATTTTTAGAATAGTATTAAAAAGTTATTGCACAAGTTGACAGCCAAAAAATGGTCAGGGGTTTCTCAACTGGTTTAGACTAATGTTGGTGTTCTGAGTCCGAATATCACATGCACTTTGCTCTATCAGGTCAACTTTTTGAGATACAGCCATAGTGTTACAGATTACGTACGTCTACGTTATTATGAATTCTGATTATCAAATTTGATGGAGTAAATAAAAACTGAATGACTTTGGATACGTTGACTTTTATTTCTTGAGGAAAACGGAAAAAACGTCAAGGGTTTCTCAGCTGAAGATCCGCAGAAATTTGTTTTTTACGCAAAATCAATTAAAAAAAACATTTCTGTAGCAAAAAATCCTGACCTGATTGAGCAAAACCAAGGTCATTTTCAGACTCAGAGCATCAAAATTAGTCTAATTCAGCTGGAAAACCCTGGACTATTTTCAAAAAAAAATTTTGTGTTACCCAGTGTTGTTCATTTATCTTGTGCTGTGTGCTCCTCGTGCCAATTGTTCTGTAACTTGTAATGTAACACTGCCATCTACCCACTGTGGGAAGAATAAAGGATCTCTTATGATTCTCATTGCTTGTTCATTAAGCATATGTGTGTTTCTGCTGCACTTGTGTGTGTGTGTGTGTGTGTCAGAAGGTTAGATATATTTAGTATAACAGTTTTCTGCCTTTTAAAATAAAAAGTATCGATCTAGGGGCGGCCTAGATAACAATCTATTGTTTTTCAAACTTGGAAATAAACAAAACATGAATGTTACTCCCTGTGGGGATAGCAAAGGTAGTTACAGCTCAATGCATTTTTTACCATATATTTTGACATTCAAAAAACGTGGAATGATAAAGTAAACAGTTGCCAACAGTGTTTTACTTTTAAAGGCTGAAAAACACTTCCCACCTCTGCACCTTCTCCACCGACTCCCACTGATGACTGCTGTCGTTGTGTCCTTGGGCAAGACACTTAACCCCACTTTGCCCAAAGCCCCCACTGAAAGATCAAGGCTATGCTCACACTCAGAGAGCAGCCGTCCTCCTGTGGACTCACCACCTGCAGAGGGTCAGTGAGGGGCTGGTGCTATGAGACTTGGGTGGCATCTCTGACTGCCACCCCCCTGACCCAGAAATGGATTAAAGGGTAGAAAATGGATGGATGGATGGCTGAAAAACAAGGAAGTAGCCGCTGTCATATGTGCAATAGGGCCTTCTGAGCTACAACTTTTTCCTTTTTCCCAGAATTGATGTGATCAATGTGAGCAAGGATTTCTTTCCAGGGTGTTGAAACTTACTCACCCCTCTATGCATGCAAACTAAGTATTTTTGCTTCTTCTTTTGGTCCAGTGTTTACCTGTGGCGTGGTTATGACTACTGCTCCATCGATACTAGTGGCGCTCAGGTACTGCACGATTGACAGGTGCTCGTCAGAAGTTCCAGGGGGCGTGTCCACAATGAGGTAATCCAGGTCGCCCCAGTCCACATCACGTAGAAACTGTTTTATCATCCCTGCAAAGAGAGAGAGAACACATTGGTCAGCAGGGCATAACTCATCTTGGATAGATCAGAGCTAATATAGATTATACCATTTTTCTTGGGCCCTCTCCAGATCACAGCATCGTCCGGGCTGTCGAGGAGGAAGCCGATGGACATAACGGCAAGGTTGTCCTCTACGTACTGAAAACCACAACAACAAGTGTGTATGAAATCAAATGAAACAGTTAAATACAAATGCAGATGTACAACTTACAACAGGAGACCATCCAGAACCGCTTTGGTGAATCTGAGGACAAAAGTACATTGTGTAAACAATTTTTTGTTTTAATAAATTAAATTTAAGAGGTCTTGAAGTGGTGACTATATTTAATAACAGCATAAGGATGATGTTGGTCAGTAGACGTAAGAAAAGTATGGCAGGTTTGTGAATAGATTCACTATTGAAAATCATTGCCTATTTACAATTGTTTTCAAAAATGTTCCCGCATAGAGTTGTATTGGCACCTTCCCTCTAACTGAAACAGAATTCTAGAACACGAACGCCATCAATCATTACACATAACATGTATTATTTCTTATTAATATATTATAATATCATGTTTTGTGCACATTACCTGCTCTCCTTCCAAACCCATGATCCGGGGAAGTGAAGGGCCACATATATCTACATCCAACAGACCAACCTGATAAATAAGACCGTCATTAAATGGTCATTAAACATTAAATAAGCAACATTTGATTCTACGTATGAGACCGCACCTCTTTGGAGGTGTCACTAGCCAGTGCGTGAGCCAGGTGTGCGCTAAACGTGCTCTTTCCCACTCCGCCTTTCCCCGACAGCACCAGGATCTTGTGCTTCACGTTGGACAGCTTCTCACCGATCTCTGCTATAGCTGGAAAAGAAAAGCAAAACAATAACATGGCCTTTATTTTATTTTAGAATAATCAATGATATTTCATGTTGACGACCAACTATCGGCCTACCTGGATCTGGGGCCTTTGTGGCTCCAGATGCACAGAGCTGCTGATTGGGACAACCAGCGCATGATGAGGCTTTACCAGCCTGGTCACTTTGAGTCCCTGGGCAATCTGAACACAAACAGAATACATATTTTAAGATAAGATAACCTTCATTCCTGCAGCGCACATACAGGACAGTAGTAACAGCACACAACTACGCTATTTAAAAAGCAGAAACGAAGGCCTGCAATACATCATTATATTGTCTGGACAGTGGTGCGATAACCTTGACAACTCCTTACAACATATGTTTTTATTAGCAACAATAATCATGGACTGCTAGAAGTGTGGTATATTTTCATTGTGCAGGTAGCGGTTTGACACAGACAAAGTGTACTTAAAATGTATTAGATTATTATCTAGATATTATAAAGTTGTATCATATTTTTAAATGTGGAATTTGACTAGTTGTTTTTGCAAAAATAGTGATGGGTGTGTTCAAAGTAAAGTGTCAAATTGACGTTTATATTTTTGGCAAAATTCTAAAAGACCAGATCAGTCTCTGATTTGATACAGTTGAAAAGGTCATGAGTGACAAAGCGGCAGATGAACTCCCACAGATTAACATAAACACAACATCAGGAAATCCCTTGATTTAAAAAGGAATCATAACAAAAATTAAAATAATTAAATACAAATTTAAATGACCCTTGAAAAATGTAAAAACGGACGTGATGTTTTCCGTAATTTTTTTTTCAAGAAATGTAACTTAAGAAAAAAAACTGGTCTGGTATCACATTTATTTGATTTACTTTATGAAAGTAATCACTTTGTTTCTACTCTGTGTAAAAAAAAAGTTCGTCACACATCTGTGACACAGATAAACAGAGCCACTATAGAACATGTGACTAATGTATAAAACACTTATCTTTTAGTAAATACTAATGGACAGGAGAGGTATTTGGATAGTTGAAAAACATTATTATATTTTCTGATTATTAAAATCTAATCTTTGGCCTTCTGTCACACTTTTGTGCCATTTAGTGTGAACAAGCACTGATATTAAAGCAAAATGAATGACCCTTATGAAAATAAGAATAAACTTTGTGTTTGTCAACTCAGCTATGTCATCATGACACAGCAAATTTTAGAGACATAAAAGGGCTGAAATATGTCAGAATAAATGGAAATACACGAAATGAAATGTACGTTTATTGAATATCTATATTATGGTTACAAAATGTGTTATATGTCATTTACCAAAACAACTGTGTTACAAGACCAGAGCCAATAAGTGACGGGTCAAAGATGGACAGTTCGGAGGACAAAGGCATGAAACAAATACAAATTCACAGGATATAAGCACATTTCAAATATAATAAAGGTTATACAAACACAAAACTCACGCTCAGGTGCATTATCAGGAACATCTCCCATGTTTGGTGCGTGTGCGTCAACAATGTCTTCCCCAACGATGGTTCCTATCCATCATCCACTTTTCTTTTTTATAAGTATGTGACCATTTTGATATATACAATATTTATTAAATCAAGAAGGTGATTAATTTATATCAATCATCTTCTGTATATTTCATCTTCATTACATTCATCTATATGAGTATTTGTCACACGTTGGTTCACACATGATTTGAATAAGCTGTAGTTGAAAAATACAAACACAGCACAGATATGAATTATAAATACAAATACAAATTATGCAATACAGCTAATAGAAAATGTATTTGAAATAGGAAATAATATGCTAAATAATTATAAGTTACATAAAACCCTCAGAGCTAATTACTTATTATTTCCATATTACTGGAAGCGTCACGTGGCCTATCGTCCAGATGGTCTGCACCCGAACAAATACGGCACCAGTTTGTTGACGGACTTCCTACGCCATGTTGTTCAGTGCTCCCCGAGGGGGGCGTGACTGTTTACATCTGAGGCTTCTCGGCCCCCACCACCCCCCTCCTCCTCCTCCTTACCAGCACCGGGTGAGTACTGTGGTGCAAACACTGACCCCTGTCCGTCTGGCAGTGTAACGACAGTCCTGCCACTGAACTGTGCTGACTCAGTTATGCATCTGGAACTTAACAAAGTACAACAGAGTTCACTTTTTAAACCAATAGAGACTGTGTGTGTTCCTCGCACCAGCTCAGAAATGTGTTTTAACTTGAATAAACACAAATTTAAAAGAAGGACAGCAGTTAGACGGTCCAACTCTGGAAATCTAATTCCAGTTCTTTGTAATCAATCAACTAAACCCACTGACACTGATATTAATTTTAACCTTGCTCTACTTAATGTCAGATCACTATGCAACAAATCATTTTTAATTAATAATTTTATCTGTTCGTATGATCTTGATTTTATGTTTATGACTGAAACATGGCTTGACCATAATACAGGAGATGCAGTTTTAATAGAAGCCTCACCACCAAATTTCAAATTTGAATATGAAACACGAGAAAATAAAAGGGGGGGGGGGCATAGCAGCAGTTTTTAAAGATCGTATTGTCTCCCATAGAGTGTCTCTTGGGAAATTTTCATCATTTGAGTATGTTTCTTTTAAAATAGAACAAAAGAAATCTTCTTCCATTCTTATTATTGTTGTGTACAAGCCGCCACAGTCATGCCATAGTTTCACTGATCATTTCACTGAGTTGCTTTCAGTTGTGTGCACAGATTTTGATGGTTTAGTCATTATAGGCGATTTTAATATTCATGTGGATAATGCTAATGACAGATACGCAAGAGAGCTGAGTTCCATACTTGAATCCTTTGGCCTCACTCAGCATGTGAGTGGCCCCACCCATAGCAGAGGACACACCCTGGACCTGCTTATCACGAAAGGGGTGAATATTTCAAAAGTTAATGTAGTTGATGTTGCTCTGTCGGATCATTTCTGTGTATTTTTTAACATGTGTTTTGCTACCAGACCACCCGCTAAATATGAAATTGTTAGAAGTAGACACTTAAATGAAAACACGGGTGAACTATTTATGGGAATGATCCATTTTGAGAACGCATCATGTTCTACTGTGGATGAACTGTTTGGCTCTGTCACCTCTAGTGTGTTGAATGTTCTGGACGCCATTGCCCCTGTGAAGGTAAAAATGGTCACAAATAAGCAAAAAGCCCCATGGATAAAAGCAGGCCCGGTCAGGGCACAGAAGCAAGAGTGCCGGAGAGCAGAGAGAAAGTGGAGAAAGTCCAACCTCCAGGGTGATTATAAACTCTTAAAAGAGAAGTTGTGTGAGTTTAACAGAGTACTACGTAGAACAAGAGAATTATACTTTTCTGAAACTATTGAAGGCTGCAGCAACAATCTGCGTGTTCTATTTTCAACAATCAATAGATTAACGAACCCCCCTGTTGAGTTGCCATTAGAACACTACTCCAAATCCAGGTGTAATGAGTTTGCACAGTTCTTCAGAGACAAGGTTCAGGGTATCAGAAATGCCATCACCTCTACAACACAAGTAACAATGCAACATCCAGTGAGGCTTTGTGAGCTAGCTCAATTTGCACCTGTCAATGATGAAACTGTTAAAAAGATAATCACAGGTCTGAGTTCCTCTACCTGCAGTCTGGATGTACTACCTCCTAGATTTCTGAAGTCTGTTATGTGTAGTCTATTACCCTCATTGACACAAATAGTAAACATGTCTTTTTTATCTGGAACATTTCCAATGGCCCTGAAAAAGGCAGTCATCAGGCCCCTCCTAAAAAAGAGCAGTTTGGATGCTGCGGTACTTGAAAATTACCGTCCCATCTCAAATCTGCCTTTCATGGGAAAAATTCTTGAAAAAGTTGCCTACCAACAACTTACTGAATTTTTGATATCTAATGGCTCATTTGACATGTTCCAGTCTGGCTTTAGACCACACCACAGTACTGAGACCGCTCTAGTCAAGGTAACAAATGATATTCGGCTTAACACTGATGCAGGAAAAGTCTCTGTTTTAGTCATGTTAGATCTGAGTGCCGCTTTCGACACCGTTGACCATGAGATTCTCATGCAGAGACTGGAGGACTGGGTTGGTGTTGCTGGTACCGCCCTAAGCTGGTTTAGGTCCTATTTAGAAGAAAGGAAGTATTGTGTGGAGATTGGAGACTATGTCTCAGATAATATGGCCCTGACCTGCGGAGTGCCACAGGGGTCGATTCTGGGACCTCTCCTGTTCAATATTTACATGCTGCCATTAGGTCAGTTAATTCAAAGTATGAAAGTGTCCTACCACAATTACGCTGATGACACTCAGATCTATGTCTCACTGACTGCAGGAGAACATGGACCGGTGGACTCACTCCTTCGCTGTATCCAGCGGATCAGTGAGTGGATGCAATGCAATTTTCTCCAGCTAAATGCGGACAAAACCGAAATGATTGTCTTTGGTCCCGAGAAACAAAGAGAGACCGTCATTTGTCACCTTCAGTCTCTCTCCCTGAGGCCTTTAAATAAGGTCAGAAATCTGGGAGTAATAATGGACTCTGACTTAAACTTCAATAGCCACATTGGATCGGTAACATCAGCAGCTTTTTATCATCTGAAAAATATTGCCAAAATTAAAAATATTGTGTCCAGGGCAGACTTGGAGATTCTTATCCATTCTTTTGTTTCCAGTAGGCTGGATTACTGCAATGGCCTGCTCACAGGTATCTCCAAACATGCAGTAAAACAGCTGCAGTATATTCAAAATGCTGCAGCCCGAGTCCTGACTAGAACCAGGAAGTACGACCACATTAGTCCGGTCCTCAGGTCTCTGCACTGGCTTCCCGTGGCCCAGAGGATAGACTTTAAAGCAGCTCTCCTGGTGTACAAGTCTCTCCATGGCCTTGCACCAAAGTACATCCACGATATGCTAGTCCCATATGAACCAGCCCGGACTCTGAGGAGCGCAGGGACGGGACTCCTGTTAGTGCCCAGAGTCAGGACTAGACAGGGGGAGGCTGCTTTTCAGATTTATGCAGCTAAAGTCTGGAACAGTCTTCCTGAGGATGTGAGACTGGCTGCCTCTCTGTCAATGTTCAAATCCATGTTAAAGACTTTTCTTTTTTCCTGTGCATACAACTAGAGAATTTTATCTTTTTAACACACCTTGTTATTTATTGTTGTAACTTTTTGTGTTTTTAACTATTTTATTGTTTTTAATTACTTGTGTGATTCTTATGTTTTTAAATTACTTATGTGATTTTAATGCTTTTTAATTACATATGTGTTTTTAATTGTATTTTAATGGTGATGATTTGTGCATTGTGTGGTGTGGACTGTGAGGCGCTTTGTGTTGCCCTGTGCAGGAAAAGCGCCCTATAAATAAAGATTGATTGATTGATTGATTACATGTTTTGTTTCTACAGTAGATATTTCTTTTCATCAGAGTGTACAGGTTTATATCGTATATGTTTATTCCATTTAAAAATAATCTATTTGATTCTATTTTTTAAAAATATATAGATTTGTGTTATAGTATATTCACTCCTCTTCTGTAACTTGTGATAAAACACTGACATTTCTCCTCTTTGAGACGAATCCCTTAATCTTAATCATAAATCACGTCAATAGTAATGTTGTGACTGTATACGATGCACAACCCCCTTTTATCCACCAGATGTCAGTATTGTGAAAGTGACTCTAATTTGTAACTGATGATCATGGCTCTTAAAGCTGATGATGCAAATGTGCTTTACCTTGTTTTTTATTATTATAATCTTACCACATGAGGAGTTTGATTTCTGTTTTGACTCTGTCCAAAATGTAAACACATCAATAGAGACTGACTGTGATGGAATTCATGCAACGTAGCCAATGTTGAAGACACCTTTAATACAAAACAAAAAATATAAGTACAAATGTGCATAATACATACATATATAATGAGCCGCTCTTGACAGATTCCATTGTTCTATAGCGCATGCAGTGCCAGCGTGTTTTTGGATAGTCGCCCTCCCTTCCCCCCACACCTACAGTTTGCCTTGTGTGTAACTTGATATTTTCTTTCCCTCATTCTTTTGTCTCAACATGGCACAAACAAATACAGCAACACACACACATTTTTACATTACTGCTCTGTCCGTCTCTAACAAAGAGGCCAAGAATGTGTTAAATTGCCCTTATTACAAAATGCCAAAATAAATTCAATTATGTGGCCTATCAGAATCAGAATGGGTTCATTGAAAGGACAAATATACGGTGAGCTTGTGCAGTTGTGCAAAAATTACTTTCAGGTCCAGTGTAAGGTTTGTACCATTTGCTTATACCATATTGTGGATAAGCCATTTGTGCAATCATTTTGATATCCTTCCTCTTTTCACTTTTCAGTCCCTCGCCACACCCTGAAGGGAAAGCTCAACGGCTGGCACACTCATGTTAAAATGAATTGCAATTGTCCCATAGAGCTAATTTAGTCAAAATCTATATATGTTTATACC